AGCAACAAGAAAGTAACTAAGATACAACCTAAAGCTGAACCTCAAACTTCTAGAAAAATAACAAGTCAAGCTCAACGTTTATACAAGGGAAATTATAAAGATATGTAAAGAAATTAATGCAACTGAGACCAAGAAAACAATACAAAGAATGAATTGAAGAGTTGATTCTTTCAGACGTTCAATACAATTGACATACCCTTAGGCAATCATCCAAAACAGGAAAGAAAAGATTCAAATCCATGCACTTAGGAATGAAAAGGGTGAAATCACCACAGATCCTACACAGCTATTTGAGATCCTGTATTCTAATAAGATGGAAAACAGGAGAAATGGATAGATTCCTAGATACTTATAAATTACCAAAGCTAAATCAAGAAGACATAAAAATTCTAAATAACCTAGTATTACTTAATTAAAGATGTAAATAAAAACCTACAAAGAAAGAAAAAAAGAATTAAATTAAAGATGTAAATAAAAACCTACAAAGAAAGAAAAAAAGACTGATTCTCTGCTGGATTCTACAAAAAATTTAGAGAAGACTTTATGCCACTACTTTCCAAACTCTTTAATGAAACTGGAAGAGAAGCCATACTTCCAAATTCGAATATTCCTGGAAACAAGCCTAATACCAAAACCACAGAAGGATTCAACCTAAAAAGAGAACTATAGGCCAGTCTCCCTGATGAACACAGATACAAAATTTTCAGTAAGACACTAGCAAACAAAATTCAGGAAATCGTCAAGAAGATTATATACCATAACGAACGAAGTAGGATTCATAATAGGGATACAGTGATGGTTCAACATACACAAGTCAATAAATATAATACACATTAATAGAGCCAAGAACTACAACCAAATGATCATCTTGATAGATACAGAAAAAGCACTTGACAAAGTCCATCACTTATTCAAGATAAAAACCCTGAAGAAAACTGGAACTGATGGTCTTTATCTCAATCTGCTAAAAGCCATCTATGATAGGCCAAGAGTGAATACCACTCTAATGAACAAAAACTGATGGCTTTCACTCTCAAATCAGGAACAAGACAAGGATGCCTACTGTTACCACTCTTATTCAATATAGTTCTAGAAACATTAGCCAGAACAATTAGATATGAGAAAAATATAAGAAATAAGGATAAAAAAGGAAAAAGTTAAATTACCACTACTTGCAGATGGCATGATACTTTACACAGAAGATCCCAAAGACTCCACCATGACTTCTAGATGTAATAATCAAATTCAGTAGCACAGTTGGATAGTCAGTGCTCAAAAATCAATAGCATCTCTGAACACAAATAAAAACTGAGACAGCAATTCAGGAAACATCTTTTACAATAACAGCAACAAAACAAAACAAACAATCTAGAATCAGTCTAACTAAAGAAGTAGAAGACTTTCATATCCAAAACTTAGAAAATAAAATGAGTTACCCTTGTTCTTGGGTAGGAAGAACCAGCCATACTTCTAAAATTATTATACAGACTTTATTTGCTGTCCCAAACAAAATACCAATAGTATATCTCACAAAATTAGAGAAAACAACCCTAAAATTCATTTGGAAACAGAAAAGACCTAGAACAGCAAAAACAGGTCTGGGCAACAAGGGCAAAGCAGGGGCCATCACATTACCTGACTTATATTACAAAGCTACTGTGATAAAATTGCACAGGATTGGCAAAAAACAGACCCAAGGATCAACAGAACAGTAAGAAAATGCAGAAACAACTCCAAACATACTCAGCCACCTTCTCTTTGACAAAGTCAAACAGCTTCACTGGAAGAATGATAGCCTCTTTAATGAATGGTGCTAGAAAAACTGGCTTCCTACATGCTAAAGGTTAAATCTATACCCATATCTCTCACCATGCACTAAACTAAATTTGAAATGGACCAAAGATCTAATTAGAACAGAAATATTAAATCTGCTGTAAGATAAAGTAGGGAGAATTATTAAAGACATTGGTGTAGGAAAAGGCTTTATGAACAAAATCTTAATTGCACAGAACTATCACAAAGAATCAATGCCTGGGGTCTCATGTTACTAAAAAGCTTTTGCAGAGCAAAAGAAATCACCAAGAGTGACAGACTATCCATAGTGTGGGAAAAAGTTTTTGCCAGCTGTTCCTCAAAGGACTAATATTTAGCATATAAGAAGAACTTAAAACAAATCAGATCCCCCAAATTTAAGACCCAACCCAAAAATGGGCATCTGAAATGAAGAGATACTTCTTAGATGAAGTAGAAATGGCAAATAAATATATGAAAAAATGTTCAACATCACTGGTCATTCGAGAGATACAAATTAAAACAATGCTGAAATGCCACATTACTCCAGACGGAATATCTATCAAGAAACTAAGAACTAATGCTGGTGGGGCCATGAGGAAAAAGGAATCCTTCTCCACTGTTGGTCGGCGTATAGACTGGTGTAACCGCTGTGGAAATCAGTGTGGATATATCTCAGGAAACTAAGACTACAGTCCCACTTGACCCAGTTATTCCCCTTCATGGTGTCTTCCCAAAAGAATACAAAGCATCATTCTACAGTGATATATCTACACTCATGTTTATAGTGGCACAGTTTGTAGTAACTAAATCTTGGAAATCATCTGGATGCCCATCAAGTAATGAATGGATAAAGAAGTTGTGCTTTTTTATTTAAGAGTGAGGAGTACTACTCTATCATAAGGATAAGCTTGAGACATTTCTAAATAAGTGGATGCACCTTGACACCATAACCTTACATGAAGTAAATTAGACACATGTACTAATATTGCACTCTATTCTGGTGTAAGAAGCAGAAAGCGTAAATAAGGTCCAAAATGTGCAACAGATGTTGGGACATGAGAGAGGGAACTAAGGAGGAGGTAGAGGGAAAGAAACAAGACCAAAAAAAAAAAAAAAAGACCATTGAAGAAAAATATGGAAATAAGGCTTTTGTAAATTAAGAGGGGAGAAGGGACAGAAGGAGTGGAGGAGAATAGGAAAAAATTATTATTATTTTTTTAATTTAAAGAGAAAAAAAGCAAAACAGAAAAAAGGGTAGCAACAATACTGAATTAAAAAAAACACTAAGAAATCGCTAGTTGATAAATTACACACTGTCATCTTAGAAATAGTTGTTCAAGTTACAAAATTAAAGCATACCAAGTGGACTTGTATTGGTTTTTTGAGACAGGGTCTTGCTGTGTATTTCAGGCTGGCCTTGAGCTCACTTTGTAACCCAGGCTGGTCTAACTCTCAACAACCCTCCTGCCTCAACCTCCAGATGCTAGAATTACAGGCATGTGCCACCACACTTGGCAATTTTTTTTTGGTACTGGGAATCAAACTCGGGACCTTGAGTTTGCCAGTTAGGCGCTGTGCCACTGAGCCCCAGCTCAGGAAAAATGAAGCAGCAAGATGTATCATGTAGAGGTACAAATTCCCTACGATAAATAATTTAATTTTATCTAAAATGTACTAATAAAACAAAAATTTTAAAGTCAGCTAAAAAATAAAAATGAAAGAACTACTGATATATGCGTCAGCAAAAACATGTATTACTCATACATAGAAATAAGTTAAATAATCAAATTCAAATAAATACATAAAAGTACTTAAAATTTACAAGATTATACTGATGTCTTTGGAGTAGGGAGGGCCTATGACTTAAAAGACACAAAAAAAGGTTAAACACGAATACTGATAGCCATATAAAAATCAGTAAGTTACAGTAGTAACACAGAGTTAAAGGGTTACTATGAATTGACAATTGACTATCAGGGAATATAAAAGGCAATAAGCTTATTCAAGCTTATTAAATAAATCTTAATTTCTCTAGCAGGGAAGTACTAGTTAAAACAACGAATTATCTCCTATTTTTCAATAGATTGGCAAAATTTATAAAGAAAAAAGGTGAGAGGGAAAAGTCCACAAGCACTACTACAAGATTCTTTTGAATGTGGATATAGATGTATGGATCAATGGAACAAAAAAGATCTAGAAAAATTCACAGCAACTTAAGAATAGTGGTTATCTCAACAGTGAAGATTTGTTTTAGGATGTCCATGAAAAATACAGGTATATATATATATAGGTAAGCAAAGGCCTTAATTTCAGTGTTCAAGTATCTTTAGCAGACACATTAAGTATTTAGGGGAAACATTTTAGTATTTGAAAGTTGAACTCTAAATGAATTAATTTTTCAAAATCAAGTGAACATCAATACTCACATACATGGATGTATGTAAATGAATGTGATGGTTCACCTTGTCAACATTATTGGCTTGATGCTAATTTTCTACACCAGGAAGTCACCTAGGAGATTTGTAAAGCATACTTCTGGGTGTGTCGCGCTGGGTTATGGAGCATGTTCTTGGGGGCTATGTGAGGTCCCTGGCCCCTTCTGTTCCTGTTCCTCCCCTGCTCTTCCTCCTGGCTGCTATGTGTGAAGCAGCTTTTCTTTCTGTGCCTTCACACCATGTTTTTTCCTCAGGACCAGGAGCCCAGGAATTGAAATCTCTGAAACCATGAGCTAAAATAAGACTTTTCTTCTTTAAATTGTGGATGGCAGGTTTCTGTCCTAGCCACACCAGGATACAATGATTTTATTAAGGAAAATACAGAAGCATACTTTATTTAAAGGACCTCCAATTTAAATGCACCTCCAAAATATTGTGTTGATTACAACTTAGGTCAGTCTACAAATACATCTAAAGAGTTCTAGGTTGTTTTTTTCTTTTTATTAGAGAAATGATAAAGTAAACCTGTATGTTCAATGAAGTCCTTTATAATTACGAGTTTCATTAATTTTCCAATATAAATCAGTTGACCTAAAACCAACCTGAAAAGTTTAAACTCCAAAATTTTTTTAAAAAGTAGATACAAAATGTCTCGTTTAACCAGTACAGTCATTCCCTATTTTACTCAACCTGATTTTTTCAAAGTTTCATCTTATTTTTTATCCACTCAAGGTTTTATGAGGGAGGAAAAATGTATGGAGAAGTTCAAACCTGTTAATAATGCACACTGATGAATATCTTCACTTACAAATTTCATGAATGTATCCTCATCCTAAAACAAGAGAATTTTTAAATATAAAAACCAACAATTTCCAAATCCAGAAAGTTTTTATACATACCTTACTACTTGGGGTTGTCAGCTTGACTGATAGCTGAACTAATGACAACCACAAAATCATGCCTTAAAGGGCTATATATCCTATTATTGTTGGACCTTAATTTACATCCATAATTTATTCTTTTATGTAATTTGAAGGAAATGTCAGATGTACAAAGACCAAGCAAAATATTATTAAACACCTCATTTCTCATTGCTTTTTTTCTTCCACATCTTCTCCTTTGTGATACCCAGTAGGATTAGAACACAGGGTTCTATCTAGCATGATACACGCTAGGATTGTAACAGCGGTATTACTACTTGTAAGAAAATAAGTGGTGTGAACTATAAAAAGAGAACCCTGATTTAACACAAACATTTTAATAAAACCCAGAAAAATTTTAGGCCAAATATTCTCCCAACAAAAGGCCATGGGTGGTTTTCTTTTTCCTTTTAAAACTTTTATTAGTACAGGTTTGCGGTCATGTTTACATTCCTTGTGTGGAGTTAGTACATGTACATAACACATCTTAGTTCCTTTTTTCATCCCCTTTCCCTCTCCTCCATCTCTTGATCCCCTTTCAGTCATTTCCCAACTTTAGTAACAATTATTTAAATGTCCAATAATTATTACCCCCATTGACTTATTTGAATTGGGAATGTAATTTTAAAAGACACACTTTATCTAATTCAGTTAAAGAAAAGCTGAGAAAAACATACTGATTCATCCTCATCACTGATTGTTCCGTCTGAATAATCTTCCTTGTCTGAATCTTCTGACATCTCTTTCAGTATTTGGCTTGAAATCTCTTTCATTGTATGTGTGGGCTGTAAAACAGTTTCTAAGGAACTTATTTGTCGGCTTTTCAAATGGAAAGTGTTGTTTATATTAAATAGGTACTCAAATATATTAAACTTTACTTTTTTTTTTAGAGAAGACAATAAATGACAAATCAAATAATTTAATTGAAAGAAAACTTCCAGGATACAATGCCAAGTCATTTATATTTAAATACCATAGTCATACCAAGTTGACAATGATCCTAAGGCAGTAAAATAATAAATCAAGGAAAATTATACTAAAATAGCAGTGAAAACAGCGATATAATTTTAAAAGTTTTTCTTTTCCTTTTCAGCTGACTTCAAAAGCTCTAGTTACGAGTGACTTCTATTCTAATTAATATTATTCTGCAGGTACTCTTTCGGTTAATATTCAGTGACAGGATCTTACTTAACACTCCATAGCTCCCGGAAGGTTGTACTGGACACGACCATAAATGCGCCCGTGAAACGATCCCTCCGCGCAGACACTGCTGAAACAAAGGAATAATCGAACTTCCTCCTCAGGATTCTACAACTTCCAATCTCCTTGTTCAAGCGCAGTGTGGACTGAAGCCTGCACGGCGTCGACAGGCAGATTCTCCCGAGATCACAATTCTCGTGGCTCCAGCCCGTCCCTGCCGCGCGTGCTCGGCCGCGGGGTCACCGAGGGTCCCCCGGGCCCCTGCTCCGGAAGCGGCGGCACAGGCTGCGCCGCCTGCGGGCCCCGCATCCCGTGTGGGAAGCGCAGTGGAACCGCATCGGGCGGGCGTCGCCCTCCTCGCACGCATTTGTGCCGGGTGCCGCAGGCCGCAATGCGCTCCTCTACCTTCGCCTCCACTATCCCGGGCAGCTCCTGGCTGCCACCGCAGCAGTCGTCCTATCCGCCCTGGGAGAAGACTTAGGGTTCTCCCCGTGATCCCCAGAGACCAGAGAAGAAAGAACTTTACAGTAAAAACCCCAGCCTTAACCTCTACGAAAACCACGTCACTGGTTACCTGGGCAGGCCGCCCAGCCTCGCGAGACTTCGAGGAGTTCGCGCGAGTTTTCGAACAGCCTTTGGGAATCTTCTAAAACCCACCGCAGGGCAGCGCGCATGCGCAGGGTCTTGGCCCTAGGAAGTGTTGGCTCTAGGATTGACAGATCTCCAGGCAAAGTTGCCTGTTGGGCGGAGAGAGAGAATCTGAGAGATTATGACGGTGGGGGCTGCAGGAGGTGGGGACGGCGAGACAGTACTTGGAGAGAAGCCGGTGAAACTCACTGGTTACCCTATCATCCTGACCGCATACAAGTTCATTTTGTGGACTAAAATTTCTTCGTCCGTGAAATGGACAAAGTAATTGCACCGACTTGATAGAAGATTAAGTTGAAAATATGGTGGTTTCCAACGTGCACACTGTGAATTCCAATCTGCACAATTGTGACTAATGAGCTTTATTCTGGAAAATGAGACTTTTCTCTGTAAATGTTTGATTTGCAGGAATTATGAAGATGTTAGTGTGCACTCTCTTACCAGCCCTGTGATCCCTTGAATATGATCGTTTAACATTGAACATTTAATTTATCTTCTGTACAATAGCAAATCACTTTACTGTGTCACTAAATATGATCTTGCCGTATTTTATTTTGAGTTTTCTGTTATATTTAACTGGTTAATTTTATTGGGATTTGTTGTTGAATTGTTTTTTGCTTGTTTTATTGGTTTGTTTGAGACAGGATCTTCTTATGTATTTCAGGCTGGCCTATCGGGGGATTTAACTCACTGGCTTAAGTGCCTGCCTGGCAAGCGTGAGGTTGTGAGTTCAACCCCTGGTACCAAAAGCAAAACTGAGGCTGACCTTAAATGCACTACTTAGTCCATGTTGGCCTTGAACTTACAGTACTCTTCCTGCTACAGCCTCCCCAGTGCTGGGATTACAGGTGTGTGTCACCATGCACTGCTTGATGGATAATTTAATAAACATTTGGAATAATTTTCCAAATAGAGTTAAGAAAAGAGAATGGATAGATGTTTGGTACCGACAAGAGTCATATGCAATGAGAAATGGAAGTAATATTCTGTAGCAAGTTTGAAAGTAAAAGAGAAGGCAAGGCACTATGGTTTAAGCATGAAGAAGGATTAACATTTTCTTCAAGTTCTGAAAGTTTCTGAAATTAACAAGCTGTTTTGTTTTGTTGTTAGCAAACATTTGGAAGTTTGGAACTTCCAGATTAGACTTTAGTCTGAGAAACTAAAACCTATCTTAAAGCAAGCTTTTCTGAAAGTTATTCTTAATCATTGTATTATGCCACATAGACGTCACTAATGGTGATATGCACAGAGTTTTCAGTAGCATTTAGGTGTAGTTTGAGTGTGTCCTCCTCACCCTGTGGTACCTCTGTTGAAATTTAATGCCCATTTTGAGGTTTTAAGAGGGTAGAAGCTTAATCTTACTCCAGTAATTCGAATTGAGCATTTGGGATAAGGACACCCAGATGGAACCCACATGATTGAGTACTGGTGGCTATATAGGACAGGGGAGACCAGAGGGCACACACACATGCACACACTCACAGTCATACACATTTTGTCTCTTTCATAGAATGTTTTGCAACTTCTTGGAACTCTGCTAGCAAGAAGACCATCACTAGTGGTCCTTAACCTTGTACCTCCAGAACTGTGAGACTAAACTTCTTTTCTTAAACCTACCTACTCTGTGGTGTTATATACTTGGCAATAGAAAATAGACTCAGGCAATATTTTTATATGGAATCTATTTTTTGTTGTTGGATTTTAGTCTAGTTATGACCACAGGAGGTCAAATGCACAAGTAAAGCTCCTAGAAATAATCTAACAAGGTTATACAGAAGTAAGTGGCAAAGCTGGGACTTAGTTCACTTCTAGTCTAAGTATTTACATGATCTTATGTCAAAGACTCTTTTTAGAGAAAAATTGTCCTACTGTATAATAAAACTATTAGGCATTTACAACTTTGAAAGTCATATTATTTCATTATTTTAATTCATTATTGTTTTAAGGAATTTTATCAAATGCTTATTACATATCAGGGACTGTTCCCAGGGTAAGGCTTTTACAGAGAACAAAACATTGTTTATACAGCTTATGTTCTAATGGGAGAAAACAGACAACTAGTAATAACAATAATCAAAACCAGAGTTCAGGTTATGGGATAATAATTATTATGAAAAAAAAAAAAGAGCACAGAGAGTGCTAGTGGATGAGTCTTGATAGAGGAGCTCTTTTTCTATGGGGTGACCAGGAAAAATCTCTCTGACCAGATGGCATTTGAGCATAGGGATGAATCATAAGGATGTACAGGGGAAGACCTTACTGAGCAGGGGGTATGGCCAGCACAAAAGCTCTGAGGGAAATATTGTGAATTAGACGAGACAATACTGTGTAGCCAAAGCTTAGCTGGTGTCAGTATCATTTTAAAGAAAAATTTATTAAGAACTTTTCTCCAGGGAAATTTAAGATGACTTTCTTAAGCACCTCCTAGTTCTTTTCAACTTCTAAAAACTAAGAAAAAACGCAAGGGTATTTCCAAACAGTAGTACACTGGAAATGAAATTCCTTGTTTTTAAGTCAAAGTTGAAGTGACATCTGCAGTGAGCTTCTATGAAGAATTTTCTAACAGTATGCACTTTTGTTCCCCTTCTCTAGGACTTACCAGAGAAGGTATATTGGGCAGACTATTTATATAGCCATTTCCTGATATTTGGGAAGGCAGATTGACACTGGTTGCAACTTTCTCCTACTTTTTGGTGATTTTACTGCAAGACTGCAATATAAAAGACAATGTAAAAATAAAGGAAAAAGACTACTAAAATTAACCCCAAAGCTATAATTACTGGTGTGGGAATCAGGAGGAATGCTTGTTTTAATAATAAGGCCAAATGAAACTTGTGTTGGGGGTATAATTTTGTGTAATTATATCACTTTGCATTTACTGAGGAGAGGTTTAAAGCAGAACATGGATTCGTTAGGGCAATCCATTGTTTATGATATCAGAGAAGTTAGTGACTGTGATGCTTTTGAGGCCTGGTCACCTTGGGGCTGTGAAGGCAGTTCAGGGCTTGGAACCATTAGGTAGCCTAGTGCTGTACCTGCCCACCTTTCCTTAGACCATCTGGGTTTAGGATGAATCAGTACAGGACCAAACCTCTCAAACTGTTTCCAAACTCAAATTTTGAGCTCTTTTCAAGCCAGCAGCTAACCAAGACTCTGCTCTAGGCTCATTCACAATCAGAAACCATTCCTGATTCTATATCATCAGTATTACTTGTATTTGAGGACTACAGGAAGCAGCAATTCCCCTTAGTACTTTTTTTTTTTTTGTCTTTTTGAGATAGGGTCTCGCTATGCAGTTCAGGCTAGCCTTGAGCTCACTTAGGCTGGTCTCAAACTCAGAATGATCCTCTTGCCTCAGCCTCCCGAGTGCTGGGATTACAGGTGAGAGCCACCACACCTGGCTCTCCCCTCAGTATTTGAATAAAGTATTGTAGTAAGAATGTCCCATGTCTACTCAACAAATAAGAATATAAATCATCCCAAAGAGAATGTGTGCTTCTTAGGCTCAGTGTGAACATGATCTCCCACCCTAACAGTGCAAGGACAAAGGCTTGAGTCTCCCTTCCCCGCAGCGTGTTTTGCCCAAATTCCATAACGTTTCAGCTAATTTAGCCAACTACAGCAGTTTTGTTTCTATATTTAAGATTTCATTCCAGTAGTTGGTATTTAGATTTAGCATTGAGAAATTCATTTCAATTTTAATTTCAAGCTTTATTCAAAGCGCTCTTTCTCCCCACCTCTTAAAGCAGCCTAGATCTTTCCCAAGCTCTGGTGGCTTGGGGACTGAGAGGGAGTTTGGAGTTTTCTGTGTATGCTCATTGAACCCTCCTTCTTAGTAGATTTTGGCCTCTTGCTATGTTAGGATGCCGATGGGCCAGAAGCCAGAAGGGCAAAGGTCTGTATAACTTACTAGTTATCAGCCAGATGGTATTCTTACTCTCCCTGTGGACTTCTTAGAGGAGAATAGTGGCACCAACTGGCCCCTGTAAAATAGACTCTCTTAAAGTCTCTCTCCCAGGCAGTGACCTCTGTTACAGAATGGGATGCATAGTGGTTAAGAGTGGGGGGCTCAGGAGCTAATGCTGGGCATCAGATACTCTGTCATTTAATAGCTGTATGGTGACGGCAAATTTTTAATGTTCTCTGTGCTTTAGTTTATTTACCAGTAAATCAGGGTTAATAATAAAGTACCTACAGGAATCTAATTGCCGCCATCATAGGCTGACTGGCATCAGTCACCCACCCGCTCATCTCCTTATCCAGCCCTGCTATTGGGAAGAACTCAGATCATTATCTGCCCTGCTATGGATCACAACCACTATTGCCTGCACATTCCCAAGCCTCTCCTTGGGCAAGCATTCCTGGCAGGTAACCACCAACGCTCTCACTGATCTCCAGCCTGGTTAATAGGATGGAGATTGTGGCTGTAGGCATTTCACTCCTGTAGCAGGGTTTACCTGGAGGCTTTCTCCTAGGATGGTTCTCCTTGGATGGCATGGTCTGTTGCTTGGAGGGGTCTTTGGACTTGGACCCCTCCAAAGTCCTACTCAGGTTTTCTAAATTTTCCACTCTAATCCCTTCCTTGTTTGAATACTAAATAAATATGGGCTACCAAGGGACATTCCCTGTCTTAGCCCACAGCGTCTCAAACTCTGCAGAGTTTGAATCCTCCTGGAGCCCTAAAATCATACTACTTGTCTCATTCATTTAAGCCTTCATGGTACACTCATTTGGGAGACTGGGGATCTAGGCTAGGTCTCTAATAATTAGACTGTATGAGGGGATTCAGTCTGGTCTTGGTGCCACAGCCATCTCTCTAGGTTTGTTCTTTTTTTTTTTTTTGTACCAGAGATCGAACTCAGGACCTCGCGCTTGTCAGGCAGGTGCTTATGCCGCTGAGCTAAATTCCCGGCCCATCTAGGTTTGTTCTGAAATAAACCTGTCCTGTTGAACTCGAATTTCTATATCTTTTCCTCTTTTTTTCCCCTAACAGTACCTGTCTAGTAGGGTTATTCTGAGGAATAAATAAGAGAGCAATGTGCAGAATTCTAAAAGCACTTACACGTTATTCATTAATATGACATGAGGGGGCAGGTGAGACCTGTCCCTTGCCCTGGCATAGCACTTCCATTTTTCACCCTAGCGTCATGGGAGAATTTTTTAGAAGATGAATTCTCAGGCCCCATCTAGACCTATAGACTCACAAACTCTGGGGTGAGATGTGCCCCTAGGGTATCCTGGAGACCCACTGGTAGAGAAAATTAAGAATGAGCTAATATTCTTAGGGATGAGTTGATGTATGTACTAAAAACCAGGAATCACAAAATGCCATAAAACATACCAACATTTCAGAACTCTAGAAAGTTTATAAAATTCATTAGCAGCACATTTCAAAGAGTTTATAAATTGCAATTCTCATGAAAAATCATTGTCTTATCACTTATCAAGCACCATTTTGTGCACAGGTCTCAGTGCAGAAAGCTATATAGCAATATTTAAATCATTCCAGGATGAAGTGCTGTCTCTTGTTTTTAATTGCTGACAATTATTAACTATGTAATTCTTTGACAATAGGCACTGGAGCCTTGTGATAGTTTATCTCTCCTTAAATTGTTACTTGATATTTTGTAATTTTTCATCTTTATTATTCATCTCTCTTTCAAGTAATATAGTTGTTCCTTGGAGTGAAGGCAACTGCTAATGTGTGAAGACTGGAGCGGGGCAGGAAGGGAGAGATCACCCTTCAAGCTTATCCTTCCAACTCCTACTTTTAGGAGGTAGCTCTTTAGAAACTTAGCCATAAGTTGAAAGTAGTTTACCAAGTCTTTATCCTTCACAGTTAGAAGATTTTGACATTTTTTCCATTTAGTCCCATAATGTTGCAAAAGCATATTTCAGTCTCTTGCAGGTCAGGTTATATTTTGAAGCAAAAGCATCCCTAGTATAAATGAGGGCACAAAACTAACACAGTACAGGTGGCATGTGACTGGGATGCTATTTAAATGAGAAAAGATCAGTGATTTCATTAAATGTGAATGAACTAAATACTCCAGGTTAAAACACAAAGACCATCAGAGTGGGTTAAAACCCAGACTCAAATTGTGGGTATGTATGTATGTGTGTGTGTGTATGTGTGTGTGTGTGTGTGTATGTGTGTGTTTATGTTTGGCAGTACTGGGGATTGAACTTGGGGTTTTTGAATTAAGCTATATTCTTAGTTCTTTTCAATTTTTTTAGTTTGAGGCAGGATCCTGCTAAGTGCCAAGTTCCCCAGGCTGTGTTGAAACTTGAACTCTTCCTGTCTATTTATGTCCCAGAGTGCTGGGATTATGGGCATGCACTACCATGCCTGACTTTAAAGCACAGGATATTTAAAGACACATCTAAAGGTAAAGGCTATATAAAAATTGAAAAGTAAAGCAATGGATAAACATATAATGCAAGTACTAACTGAAAGAAATCTACTGTAGCATTATCAAGAATAGAAAAAAAGCTTTAATGTGAAAATCTTTGCTACAAATATAGTCACCTCATAATGCCAATATTCAATTCATTGGGAAAATACAGTGACTGTAGGTTTTAATGGTTTTTAAAACATCCCTTGAAACATAGAAAGCAAAATTAACAGAATTATAAGGATTAACAGACAAATCTATAATCATAATAGGAGATTTTTTCACTTTTCTTTTTTAGTAATAGAACAAAGGAAAACATCAGTAAAGATTCAGTATTTTTGGACATGGTAAATAAACTTGATCCAAACAGAGAGTGAATTTAGATCCAGACCTCATTAGATTGTGTTAAAGGAACAAGCTTTTAGATAAGATCATTTTTCATATTCATTCTTCCACTTGCAGCACATATGCAAGCAAGGGTAGGAAAAAATCTACAGTACAAACCTGTTTACACTTACGTAAGACTATGGTGCTATGTTCTCAGACTCTTATGCTAAAGACACATATCAAAAATTGATTTTCATTTGTTGTATCTTCTCATTTTGGTACTAGTAATACAGATTGGATTCATTACTTAACTTTGTAAATTAATTGTGATGACAACTATTTTGTTGTTTAGGCTTATTAGTCTTCTTTTTTTTTTTTTTTTTTTTTTTTTTTTGTCTTTTTCGTTTTTATCGGTACCAGGGATCGAACTCACGACTGCCTGCTTGCAAGGCAGGCACTTATGCCGCTGAGCTAAATCCCCAGCCCCAGTCTTCTTGTTACGACTTAACTGTAAAAATATTGTGTTCTTACAGTATCTTAGTTAATTCATTAATTTCATGGGCAGGATTTGTGGAATTTTTGAGAAACTGGAAAACATTTCAAGCTTTTATGAGAACCTCAGATTTCAGACTAATTAGTGCTGCATAAATGTGCAATATTACTATGAAAATATATTCTTGTACATAACTATAATCATCAGATCCTAGCAAATAATACGTGTTATGTACACGAATGGTACATAGTTAATGCCTATTTCTACTATAATAGACACTCTTCTTGAGAAACTATGCCTGGTTTAAGAACTTTTAAAATTTTTCTTCTACCTTTTCTATACTTGTCTGATCTGTTGTCCACATCACAGAAATTCTTAATACTGTTACAAGTTTGTCTGTAATAAGAAGCACTTAAACATATGAAAATACTGCTCCTACTTAATTTAGAGTGAAACCAACATTCAACATGAACTATAGGTTTTGCTATACCATCAACTGTATAGTACACAAAATACAGAAGGCAATAATATTTGGAGGAATTCCATTTATTGTGGATGCATTTTCACAATATATTTTATTGCAGCGATCAGTCATCAGTGAAAATTATCAAGTGTTTGTAACATTTTTAGGAATGGCAGATTCACAGAACATGCTAGTTGACTTACAGTATAATCTCTTAAAGATAACAGAGAATTGTATTGAGGAACTTGCTTTGCAAAAGATTAAATCCAAACTGAACAGAATTCTATCCTAAACTTATTCCATCCAAATATTGGAATAAAAGTCAGAATCAATACATTCTCTTCTCAATGTCACACTTTCTAGAGGAATATGTGATAGTGACCAGGAGATGCTCTGGTTCAAAAGCTCAACACAGCAATATTCTCTCACAATCAACAATGCAATTGATCCGTCTCACTGCAATGATGGTAGTTATTTACATTGGTGCTTCATGTAAATCCTATTTTATCTTATCATAGACTTGTGTCTACTCTGTCATGGGTGGTTGGGAGTATGTGTGCAATCTTGGTGGCTTATCTTCCTTTGTCCAAGCTTTGCTGAAAGATAGGGGATTCCACTAGCCTTTCCTGATCGTGAGGAAACAGATTTCTAAGGCAATGGCTATTCCTGAAGCCACAGTGAGCCTTTCCAGGAAAATATGTGGGTCAGAAAACAGTTGTTTGAGAAACTCTGTCAGTCTGGTAGAAATTGAGACAAAGGCAATTTTTGATAAATGAGGTATGAGTTCATAGATGACACTGTGTGTGTTGTCTACCCTAGGACATTTTGCCAACACACTGGCATCCTCTTTCATCTATTGTCAATAAAAAAGACTTGGAGGTTAAAATAAAATCTGATGTCTAGATTGCGTGTGTGCAATAATAATGTCAAAATTGACTCGGGGAAAAAGCAAAAGTAGAATTAACGTACACTTTTTTGAAATTTCAACACATTATCAACTTATAACAGATATAAATGACTAAAAAAGGTAGAAAAGTTTAATTAAAAATGTTTCAGGGTATATAAAGATAGAAATACTATTGGACTCCTCAACACTGGATTTTATTGACTTGTTTGCTTCTAAACATGAACCCGAATCAGCCTTTGCTTAGACCTCTATGTGGAATTCCAGTCTGTGTAATATCATCACTGAAATTCTTGTCTTTACATTTCAGTGAGGGAAGAGATGTTAGTTCTCATGTAGGCCAACTTACTGTGAACTTTATTGTTATAAATAAGCAGGCTTTGAGTTTGGTAGATTTAATACAATTCACACTGGACTTCAAGATTGCCTTTAGTTATAAAGTAAATACTATTTTATAGAAAATTTTAACTCATTTTTGACATTTCTAATCCTTCTTTGTTGCAGTGCTTTTTATTATAGGTCATTGGGCATTGAAAACATATTGATACCTATCTGCCATGTTTCGACTGGCAAATATGAAATATTAATATAATATTGTGATTTTTAACTTTTAAAAAGCTGTGATATTGGCTAGTTACAAGGACATACTACTAAATATAATAGTCTAGCACATGAAAAAGCATTCTACCATTAGTGTGTTTGTATATGTGTATGCACATACATACATACATAACTGGGTAATCTAAAATGTGGTTCAGGCTACTATCACTACCAAAGAAATCCACAAAGCAATCAACCTAAAAAAAAATCAGTACCACTGTCAGCTAAAATAATAATCCAATTTAGATATGAATCAGCATGAAAAAAGTAATACCTTAGTACATCTTCTTTTTTAAAAAAGACAATCATTATTGCTGTATATCAAATCTGATATGGGTTATTTCAGAAAGTTACAATTGCCTACTCTAGATAATTTCTTCCATGCTTTATTCTAAAGTGCAGAAATAATGTCACTTCTGTATGAATTTTTTAAAAAATCCTATGGTTCATTTTTCTAGATACTGCACAAATTCCTCAGGCAATCTTAATCTTGAATCCCCTTTGTTGACTTCCACTTGATTGGTATCACTGTTCAGACAAAGAGTTCTGATGAGCAGTAGAAAAGTCTATTTCACAGCATGGGTTTCTTTCGAAACAGGCTCCTGTGCAAAGTTGACCATGAACATCTCTAGATGTGACTATTAAATATAGTGATCATATACATGGGTTTACTGGGATATTGAAAAACAAAACAAAAGAAAATGAACCCAATTTAGTAAAACATAAATATAAAACAGAGCAATGAGCCCTCTACAATTGAGCTGGTCCAGCATCTTGAGCTTGGGTTTTTCTCCAACTGCTTCAAACCTGCTAAGAGAAGCGAACTTTTAATTGGCAGCCTGCAATTTTCCAGCCAGGCGGTTTTTGTCAGAAAAGGGGAGATTATGGTTGGCATCCTTTTCAAATTTGATCTTTTATTCTATCCTTTATTCTGTGGACACCCTCCCACTTTATATTCTTTATTCCTTTCTTTCTTCTTTATATTTTTTCTTATCTTGATCTTTGGTTTTGGTCATGGTACCCAGAGTCAAGAAGAGGTTTTTTTTTTTTTTTTGTTGTTGTTGTTGTTTTCTTTTTGGTGGTGGTGGTGGTGGTTTTTTAAAGCTCCACTGTACGGGTTAGGGGTTTCTAACACAATGTGGAATAGGCAGAGGCACATGTGACTGGCCAGCTCAGTCAAGGCCATGAGCTCATACATGGTGCAGTAGGGTATGTTTATCACTGGGTTTTTCCCACTTCCCCTCAGCAATATGCATTTTTTTCCTGTTCTTACACCATTGGCCCTGAGATTTTTCTGACCCACAGTCAGTCCTGTTTTTATTCTATCCCCCTTCCCTATCATCCAGCTGCTGAAGATCCTTACTAGAGTATGAACAGAAGTTAAAACATTGTGAATTCATGTCTGCAGTGTGCTGTACACTTTAATTTCAAAGAAACAACCACATGGTAAACACTGAGTTTGGCCTTTTGGAGCAGAGCTACTTAATCTGTTGCTCTGTGCAGTCAGCTCTGGGTCTGGTGGTTCTGTTACTATTTTTACTACCCTAGGAGTTCAGAGGCATGGGGCAGGGAGAAGGGAGTGCTGTGTGTGAAAATTGAGTCCCCTCTTGCTGTATGCTACCCTGTGGCACAATTCCAACAGGGGCATTTATGCTGAATTGTATGTGAGTGTTGTTCTCAGAGTCCTGCCATTCTGGACCATTTGGCTCCACCTTCCAGACCTTTGGCTAAAAGGAACGTGTTCCAAGGGACTCTACCTATGAAGACAGACTCTATCCAGCTGGCATCCCTGGCTCAGAAGGAAGGCAGCACACCCCTTTAGGTGGCCACTTCTGAAAAGTCAAATGTCTGTGTCAGGATGATCATCAAGGCTGGAGCCAATAAACTCATTCTTTATTTAAAAAACAAAAATTTATCTCCTCTTCTGCTACCAGTAGAAAATTACGCAAGGAAAAAAAAAAAAAAAGCTTCGCATATTTTGCTGAAAACTCAACCTTGAAAGCAAGTTATGTATAATGGGTAAGAAAGGCAGGCTGAGATCAGATTGCTTGAGTATCGATCCAGGTTTTACGAGTTATTTGCTGGCATCTTTAGGAAAGCTACAATCCCTCAGTACCTCATTTTCCTCAGCTGTGAGATGGGAATAATGCTACTACACCTCAGGTGCTGGTTGAAGGGCTGTATGAGGTACTAGCAGTGCCCAGAGCAAAGGATACTCCTTTAGTGCTAGTAGTTTGTATTGACCATCAGTGTTACTAGGTATTTTTATGATATTTAGAACTCATCTGGAAAATTGGAGTTACTTAGAAGCACTTTAAATAGAGAGGCTGGGCCAGTGGATTTTATGGAGCGGCAGGGCTATATATCACTAACAGAGAAAATGAAAATACTTAGGCACCAGCTTTCAGAGTATATGAAAGTAGGTAAAAGGAAATATTTCTCTCATTTTAACGAGCACTAGTGATTCTTTAAGTTGTCTTTGATGTGATTTTTAGTCCTGAGTTTGCTTGCTGGAGTTCTGCGTGAACCCACAAGCAGACAGATCGAACATTAGATCATTCTAATCTTACTCATTCCTTGCCTCTGATTTCTCTTTTTAATTTCTTCTTTATTAAAGGAGAAAACTGGGTCTGTTTCTTGAATCAGGGAAGGGCTACAATTAGGAGTTGAATTAGCTCCCTGTACCAGAGCTCCCACTTGAAGGTCCTAACCAGCCTTCAGATATTGTCCCACGGTCCCTTTCTAAAGAAGGAGTACACCTTTGACCCAGAAGACAAAGAATAAAAGGAATCAAAGCACTCTTAGCTATTAACTCTCATACGTAGCAAATTCTGCTTTACTTATGAATCTTCGTTTTTTTGGTCATGGAAACCTTGAGCTGAGGCTGCTGGCAAAGTCTGCTAGAACAGGTTCCAAGAAAGCAGTTTGGGAACCAATTCAGGGAGACAGGCATTTTCCTCTACATGATTCACTTTCTCTGAATGACTGTGGGGCCAAGCCCGGACCTTGCAAAGAAATGGATACTGTGGTTATCCCATGGTGCTCTGCCAACCTTCTGACCACTATGGCGGCCTATCGAGAATGTCCTTCTGGGCACCATTCCATAAGCTCTGGCCGCTGATGCTGTGTGGCATCCCACAATGCCAAAGGCTCCTCCCCTCACTGTACTGTGCATGGGTCTTTTAGAAATGGGTAGTATAGACAAGGCATAGATTTCCCATTTGACCCCAGGACATTATACTGCAGAACTCATTAGGAAATTGATCTCTGAAATACTAGTTTTCCCAGTAGATTACCTTAGTGGGGGAAGTGACCTTATCCACAGGCTGCTTTTCCCAGAGGTTCCGCTTGCCAGATACATCTCCCGGCCTCAAGTCCTAATGAAGAGAAAGCAGAGAGAATGGACAAGGGGCCATTTCCCAGGTGTAAATGAATCAACACATTGACTTCATCTGTTTGGATCAGTTTGTTGTTTAATACACTTTACCCCAGTGATCTGAGTGGGTGGAACCGAAAGGACCATTCGCTGCTGTTGAGCTTTACACACCTTGGCCTGTGCTGGGATACGAGATTGTGCTGGAGTTACAAACAGTACTTGGGTCCTGTCCTTCACCAAGGATTTGCTGTTTACTGAATGGTGAAATTGGAGTGTAAATATTTAAAGTAATGTAGCCTATTTTTAACTTTCTGTATTTTTTTAATGGTACTTATATGTGTGGGATGCATGGGGAGGGTTTAAAACCAGAGCCTTTACCCTAAACTACAACCCTAGCTCTTTTCTTATTTTTTATTTTGAGACAGGGTCTTTCTACATCGCCTAAGATTGGGTTCAAATTTGGGAACCTCCTTCCTTAGCCTGCTAGAGTGCTGGGGTTACAGGTGTGGGCCACCACATTCAGATACTTTCTACATTCTTGGAGGTGAATGATTCACTGTAGGTTTCAAAACTTTTCACCCCTTGCAGCTCAGTTTCCTCGAAGTTTCTCCTTGCCAAGGGCTCACCCTGAGTTTTCTACCCGAGACCTTTCTCTGGCTCCAGTCACCCACTTTGCCCAGAAGGTGGGCTGGAGGTGCAGAGTCCACACCCAAGGAGCAGCCCAGCCACTGACTGTGAGCACTGGCACACACTGTCTCCTGGACTCACTCGGGCCTCAGGGAAGCTTGCCTTGGGCAGCACCAGGGGTAATGTGCTGTCCAGTGGCTTCACAGTGGGATTAAGTTTTAATGGCCCCCATGGTGATCTGATGAATGACACATTCTTCATTGGTTGCCTTTGTCTTTCCTTTTCGTTCCTTGTCATGTTTTCTTCACCTCCCACAAAAATCTTTTGGCCCTAGGATCACTGGCTTAGCTTCTATCAGCCCAAACAAAGAGGTTTCTCTAACTGTACCTTCCTCATACTAAAATCATTTTGTTTCCTGAGGGCAAGTGGGTAATTCAGCAGTGGGTCAGCATAAAAGATTCCACACAAACAAACATTTATCCCAGATTGTACTGCTAAGAGGAGCCCAGGGCTGATGACGTCTGTTGGAACATGTGAAAGTCTTGGGAAGGAAATGCTAAAATATGGTCCATAGCTTTGAGTCTTTATTTACAAGCTCATAACTAATTTCTTTTGGGGAATGATCCAAATTTCTGTTTCCATTTACTTTTCCTCCAGCACTTGCTTATATTAGTACTTGGCAAAAGGTAGTGTGTAGAAAATAAATGTGTTTCACTGAAATAATACTGTGTGTTTTGGCGTATTCCCTTCTCATTTAGCAAAGTAAAGCTACTAGCTATTGTATTTATCCACAGACACCAGTCTAAGTGGACATATTTCTAATACACAGCACTGAGACTTCCACACTGGAAATGTACTCCTAAGCATTTTCAGCACTGAATGTTGAAGCATTTCAGTTTTTCCTTAATCTTATTGAGATTTTTGGATTTCCTCTGTAGCATAAATTCCTGATATTCTATTAGAGAATCATACCTATTTAGCTTGGAAACACTAGGCAAAAAATCAGACTTAAAAAAAACCCCAAAACAGTTCCACTATGTTTGCCAATTTAGGTAAAAGTTGCCAAATTGTCTACAAGATTGTTTTACAATTATGGAAACTGTAATTAAGAACATGCTGGAGCTCTAGAAAATGGATATAATCACTTTATTTTCTTGACTTATATGAGATTGATATTTTCTTTTACATGAATGCTCTTCTACCTAAGAAAATGAATTGGATGTCTCTTTAGTTCTACTGAACAATCTTCTGAGATCACTTAGAGTTTAGAGAGTCAATTTTAAGAAAATAGTAACATCTTTAAATCAAAAGAGAAATATAAATAGAATTACCTGACTAGACTATATTTTAGAGAAAGACCCATTCCTGAAGAAGAGGGAGAAATGAAGGCAGGAGAAGCAGGTTTCCAGTCAACCAGAGACCAAAGAGTGAAGAAGAGAGGCCAGCTGAGAAAGATATTGTTTTTTTTTTTTTTAAAAAAAGAAAAACAGATTAGCTTTTGGTTGCTATATAACATGTAGTTTAGACACAAAAAATAGGCAAGCCAGCTAAAACAGACACACTTAGAATTGAATTCCAGTTACAGAGTTATACTGAAGTCTTACACTTTCTCCCCACAAATAGCTTAAATGTCTCAGTAAGAAATCCCAGTGCAGATCAATATTAACTTTTAAATAGCCCAAATAATACTGGTTTGACAAACGACTCTGAGCACTTGATTCTTAGCATCTGTGAAAATGATTACTTAACTACTAGCAGAAGATGGTTTTTCTCTTCACTGAGTTCTAAAGCCCAACCCTTTAAGTCCCATGAATTAGTTTCTTCTCCTTTTTTAGGATTCTAATGAGTGAAGAGTGATTGCTGAATAAACTTCTTTCTGATTTTGTTCGAATGGCCCGATGCCACACTTCTGCAAATGCAAACCTAAGCTTTCATCTATCCATGTCAGGAACACAAGCAGCATGTTGATGATAAGTTGATTCTGATCCCAAATCAGAAGGCACCTTGGAGTTCCTCCCACTTTTTGGTGTTTGAGATAAATCTGTGACATTCTGGACTCTCACTTTGGCCAGGTTATGAAACTCAGATGCCTGCCATGAAGTACCACATTGGAGACACACATGCCTAAAGAGGCTTGGGGTGAGGAAACCACCAAAAGGGAATCAAGAAATCCAAGTGTGCATCTTTGCATACTCAAAATTGATTTCAAATTGAAATTCTGAAAAGGAAAATAAAGCACAATAATGTAGGCCAAGTTACACAGATCTTAACAGCCGGGCACCAGTGTGAGGCCCTATGGATGACACATCAGAGCGTTATTTGGCCATCTTTCTCACCTCCCTTCCTTAGACTCTGCCTGCCAACCTTCATGCATCTTCGGGAGCCTTTCAACCACTTCTACACTGCTGAAACTTCATTTCTTTTCTGTTGGACCCTTAGAATAAATCATCTGTCTGCCTCGCTTGGCTCCAACTCACATCTTTTCCCAAACAGTCTTCTTTGTTGCTAGGTCTAAAATATGAGCCACTGCTATTACTTGAATGTGCACAAAACTTCAGAGTGGCTTACTAAGTATATTTAAACTAGCATTTTATCTATGACATCGATAACATACTACTTCTAATCTGGTTCATACTCAGGAAGCCACATGAAGCCCATAAAATCTGATGAAAGAAAGAGATCCCTAAAATCTTTATTAATCGCTATATTCTTTCCTTTTTCTCTCCCTCTTCTAGGAGGTTGTATATGATTCTACCAAATCATATACTAAATAGAAGACAAAGTAGGTCATGACCTTACAAATCACCTATAGTATCTTCTTGTCTTACCAGTTTTTAGGAAGCCATTAATAATTCCAGGAAATATTATTATTATTTTTGGTGTAGGAACCTTGACACATTATATTTATTGTAATAACTGAATTTAATCTTTTAAATATTTCCATTAGGATGACATACTGATGATAGTAAGCTTATCAGTTTAAGTATTAAAAAAAGAGTAAGGAAAAAATCCTGGACCAAATTTATGAGTATATATAGTTTGTTACAGAAAAGAAACAAGTCACAAAATTATTATTTCTTTTAGCAATATGCCATATTCAAGAGGAAAAATACTTGTCATTCATTCCTTATCCTTTCTGTCTTGTGAGCTTTTCAGGGGAGTCCATGAACTTTTTGTTTGTTTGTTTTTGAGACAGTATCTCTCTAAGTTGCCCTTGCTTGTCTCAGACTCAAAATCTTCCTTCCCGAGCTTCCTGAGTAGTCAGGATGATAGGTGTATGCTACCATATTGGTTTTAGGATTTCTTAAGCTTGTATTATATGTATTTGTCAGGGAGAGAAACCTTGTATTTCAAAGGGATCCATCATTCAAAAAGCTTAGTGACCACTGATGTGGAAGCATGATTTTACAAACTACTGTGGTTTGTTTGTTTGTTTGCTTATTTATTTATTTAAATAATTTCTACTTTTCCTGTAATGTGAGTGCTGGGGAACCCTGTGGCACTAAAAGGCAGCATGCAGAAATGATCTCTGACCTTGACTGTCTCTTTGTATAGGATCCTCTTTCCTGTATCTACTGGGAGAGAGAAAAGAAATTGAATTTCGGAGTGAATAGTAATTATGAATAGTAATTAAACGGCTCATAGGGCAGCATCTGAGGTCACACAAATATTTACATTTTTTCTTTTTCCTGTTTAGGTTGGGCGGTGATAATTCGAATTTGTTAACTTGGGAGATTGTCACTGGAACCAGCAGAAGCCACTGTGGCTCTGAGGCCCAGCATTTGGAAAATCTTTTCATGTCAGTTGTAGGACCTACCTGACAAGTCAATTCACAACTCCCTTTGGCACCAACAAAGCTATCAATTTAACAGAGACAACTTGGCATTACACAGTGGGGAACTTAAAAAGTTTTAAAAGTTATATTGCTAAATGCATGACAATTATCATATATGTTCAGTGAAAAGATTCCAGCAATATTTTTGCAGTAAGACAGCAACACCTAATAAATAAGAAAATTTTACATTTTGAAAATCAGCATCCATAACCAATATTTCTAGTTTCCAGTTTTACTGGTTATTAGAAAAATTGGTTTCAATTTTTCTAGTTATCAGCTTTTTTTATGGCTTTCTTTTGTAAGTGTTGATAACAAAATCATGGCAATTATTTCAACAAATACCTCAGAGTTGCATTTTTGTGCCATTATGGAAATCAAGTAAATTAGAAAATATTGTTTAACATAGCTAACCTACACATTCTTGGGGTTTAAGGGTGCTCGTCATAGAGAAGTACCAAAGTAACTGACATTTCATTTTCAAATTCCTGTCTGTAATTTACAACAAAAAGGCTAAAGAAACAGAAGAGTAAGTGGTCTGAAGTTGATCTACCTTAACTAAGCTAAATCTCCCTTCAATCAGAACAGAGAGGCAGTGATCTGGTTCCTTTTACCCTCTGGGTAACTGTGGAGCAGCCGCTTAGGAACAGGCTAAGTTTGCCTGTGTCGGGGTGCTGGCCACCGCCAAGAGTCCCGTTTGTCCTAGGTAAGCAGACCCACTCTTGTTTTCTTTGGCTGTTGTACCTGAGAGATCAGAAAAACTCAGAAAGATCCGAAGCTACTTACAGAAGGCTTGGGAGCAGGCGATTTGTTCCCATCGGGGGTTTTAGTGAGCCACTCACTGATGCGGCTGGACACTCCCACCTTCAGGCCAGCAGTTTCCTGAAAAAGCCAATCATCTGAGGTGTTAAAGCGAGCCGTAAACTTCACCTGGGCACCTGACGGGTCAAGATGAAGTACTAATTGTACTGTGCCCCACAATGAAAATATTCATGGATTCATTATGTACAGCAAACATATACTAATAAAAAATACTTGCCCTTAAAAAGCAAAACAAAGCAACCTCAAAATACCAAGTATTTTGAGTAATTATTTCACATAATCACAAAATTTAAAATGATACTAAAAGAATATCTGGTTTTATTTCCCCATGCAATCCCCGCCTCACCCCCCAAGCAGTGACAATAATCTCAGGCACTTTATTTAGAGTTCCATGGCCCGAGTACACAGAGCACCCTCACGAACATGTTCTCTCTGAGCTTTTATAGTCATTGAAAAATGAAGTATAAACTGCACCTACTTTATTGCTTTTATTATGAACTAGGATGATTCTGAAAAACAAAAGGAGAAAAAAAATCTACCCCTCTAATTTAAAGGACAAAAACTTTGCATGCTCACCTTATTTGGTGTGCCTGAGGCAGTGGGGGATGAAAACACGTTTCCCTTCTCCCACATGCTCTTGATGTTGCGCACGCCTTCAGCAGGAACAGGGAGATTTGAGGCTGCTGGTTTGGTAGGCTTTGCAGTTTTTGTTCCCTGAAATGTGTTAATTATCTTTAGGATCATTGCTCAGAAGTTTGTCCTCATAAAAGCACGGTAAACTGGTCTTCCTCAACATGATCCTTTAAAATTTCATTGTGTGAGTTTCACTGTTACCAAGAGTCATAATTTCTGTTGTGAAACAGTGCTCTGATGATCTACAACCCTCAAGATGAAGCACCAAGAACAAGATCTTTTGGAAGTGAAGCATGCCTTTTATTGGGCACTGTTTATTGTTAGGGAAATGGCTGGCTTCATTTCTTCAATGGCTATGTTCTATATGCCCGCAGTATGCAGGATGTTAGGCTTTGGGTGTGGTGGCGAGCAAACCAAGGTAATGTGGTCTTCTATTTTAATAGGAAGGTGACTTGCTATACAAGTATTTATTTCCCACTGTGGTAATTGCTACAAAAAATAATGGAGCGCTACAAAACCTGGCATGAGAGCACACATTACACGAATAATACTGTTTGAGGGCTAGAAAAATGCAACTCTGAAGAAGTGACATATAAACCCAGATCTGACAGAAAACTGGGATGTGGTAAAGGGAACAAACTACATTCTGTGCAGATGCAACAGTATGTGTAAAGGTGCAGAGTGAAAGATGGAGCACCACTGCACGGGAAGCAGGGAGTGCGTGTAAATAAGGAAAGCGGGCATTTGAGGCACTTTCCCAGCAGTGATGAAGGCACACCCAAACTGCACAAGTGGCTCCCCTGCTGCTGCTTTTTGGCCTGTGTCTGATCAAAATAGCCAGGCTGAGTGCACTGGAAGTGTCCATGGCCTGAAAATCAGCCCAGCAAGCTGCACAGTCTGGATACACTACCCCTCTCCATGCCGTGATCTGTTCATCACAGAAAATAGCTACGTGAAATTCACCCTATACTGTAGTAACATCAGTAACTTTGATTATTCCTTTGAGGAGTTAGCAGATCGCCCTCTCTTACTCCCTCTTACAACTTGTGTATGAGTTATTTTACAGGCCTCTACACTGCAAAGCACAAAGGAGAGGAAAGAAAGTAAAGTCAAACTGATCCAATCACATCACTGCAGGTACTTAACATAGAAGACCCCTGAAATCATGGACCCAAATCTACGCAAAGGAAAATAAACCAGAAATGCATACTGACCAATGACACTGACACTTTTAGTGCTTTGGTACTTAGAAATACACATTATTTCCAAATACAGTAATATCCCAGGTCAGCTGGGTCAGAAAAAGTTGAATTACATAGATGCATATGATTATGGTCCTCCAAATGCGAAACAATCTATTGGAAATGGACAATAATTAAAGTTGTTTTATAATCATCTTTATATTGCTTTATGCTACTACTTTAACTTGATAATGAATATTTATAAACAAGATCATTCACATTTTAACATTTCCGTGGCTACTGGACTCAGGGTCTCTATGATCTTTCATGTAGCCGGAACTTGTGTCTGCTCCACGGGCTGAGATTTGGAAGGCAACCCTCACCTCAATTGCACTGGTGTATTGCTCTAGGCGACTGTCAATCTTGGAGACCACTGCTGCTTGATGAGTTGATTTGACACCACTGCTAAATAAACAAACACAAACATCAAAATAGAAGACAGGAATCTTTCCGTGTACAGCTGGTCATTGTCAACTGAACAATCAACATATTTTACCTTTTCTGCACAGATTTATTCAAAAATTCTGCTCGCTCTTCTATCTAGGAATTGCAAAAACAAAATAAATGGAGTTAATATTTTCAGCTTATAAAACAATGTTTCTCAGCCTATGCCATGACTGTTCTGCATCTGGTGAAAAAAACACCAAAGAATCTGTAAGGGTAATAAGGGGACTGTGCACAGCTAGAGAGAAAACTGTGACTGGATAGTAAGATTTGGGAGATGAAGATAAGCTGGCAGAGAACAAAGTATGTAGAGAAATATAAAGTCTTGGAAGCAAACTAAAAACCAAGTTATGAAAATGTCCCTGAAATAACATAAATCAGTGGTAAATAATCATTCATATGTTAAAATCTAAACCGCCAAGTGATGGCATTTGGAGGTGGGGTTTTGGTGGATGATTAGGTCTTAAAGGTGGAGCCCTCATGCATGGCATGGGCGCCACAGGCCCAAAATCTTGCTTATTTTCTTCTGACAAGGACTCATCAAGAAGATGGACATCTGCAGATGAAGAGAACCCTCGTCAGAACCCACATATGCTGACCTGCTTACCTTGATCCCCAATCTCCAAAGCTGAGAGAAGTCGGTGCTCACTGTTTAAGCCACTAGTACACACAAATTTGTTACATTTGTCCAAATGGATAGGGACAAAGGGTCATTCAAGCACATCTGCCTAAGGCAAATGTAAATCAGTAGATGCTGAGGCTGCCCTGGACGGGACAGGGTAAAGAAGCTTCCAGGAGGCGTGTACCTTGGCAGGGCAGTCAAACACAAAGAGGGTGGTGGTAGGTGATCCATAGCAGAAGGATTTGCTGTCTTATCAAGAACATCTGACTATAATACAGTTTCAGTAAACTACAAGGTTTGATTTAGCAGCTTTAGTTGTAGCAAATAGAAGTTCGTAGTTTAAAAATTCTTTGAAGACTATGGAGCCACCCATTTAGCGTATATAAGCCAGTTCATGGTATTTGTTACAGAGTCCTAAGAAGACTAAGAAAGACAAGGTCCTATTCTTTAAGGGACATACACATTTAGTAGGAAAGTTTAATAGGCACATAAACAAAATATTTAAACATTAATGGTAAATACCACAGCACAAATAAAATGAAATTTCCATAAGACAAGCAATGAAGAGATTGGAGAAGGCTTTTTAGTAGTTTTTAGGTTTGAGCTGAGATTTGCAGTTAAAGCCTGCAGTTTCCTAAAGGAGTTTATGAAAGTAAGAGTGAGGATACATGGGCTAGAGGGGAGGGACATTTCCAGCAAAGCAATCACAGGGACAATGATTTGGGGCACACAGAGTGGGCGAGCTGAAGAAGAGAAATTCAGCATGATAGCAGAGCTGAGACTTGCCCTTTTAGCCAATCCAGCATTGTCACGTTTCTCCCCTTCACCACCACAATTACCCAAATCACAGAGGCTCTTGGGTCCTGCACCTCCTTTTGTGTGTATGACACCTCCTCTTTTGTGTATAAGCTAATCCAGCTTGACTTTGCTGACACACTTTGCCAGGAATCACTATGCATTTACTGCCTTTTTCTTGTTGAAAAATGCCTCAATTAAGTGGAAATGAGACAATCTCTACTAAATTTGTTAAGTGAACATTCAGTTTAATAATATGTAAGGAGTTTAAAGGGAAATTGGTTTCTCCAAAGACCAAGAGGGGGCGACGTTGTCTTGAAAAAATGGAATAAACGCACATTACCAGTTTTAGTAAACTCTTCATACTATTTTCTTACTAATATGTGTATGAAAACAACAAAACTGTTTACATTTAATCTGCTTAACATTTAATGTCTGTAGTATTATGTAAGAAAAAGTACCCTCGACATATTTAACAATGAGAAACTAGATTTAGAGTTGCCCAAACAACAGAAGTCATGAAAAATTAGTAAGATACACTCTTTGATAATATTTTGAGGCCCAAAATATAATACTTCCCTCCCACTGGCATTATATAATATCCATTTTGTATTATAGTGATCACCATAAACATTGCAGGGCTAAGATTATCAGTAGCTACTGGAATTCCATCAGAACAGGCTGAGTGGAAAAAGCAGCCCAAGCATGAACCATGGAGATAAGCGACAGGCTGCCTGCTGCTGCATGTGTGTCTCTGTTTTGCAGAAATGCTTTCTTTCATGTTATTGAGACTGTTTCAGGAAGGCTTAGCTTCCATGGGACTTTAAGGAAGGTAGGAGAGGGAACATGGTTTTCTTTGGTTATTGGTGAGTCAGGAACAAAAGCTCTGGCTTGGAAATAGGCTGGACTTTGGGGCCACACAAAAAGAGCCTGAAGGGAAGTTTTTGCCTTTTTGCTCTTTTTTCTGGGGCACGGGTCCATGAATGAGAATCACTGGGTAAACTGGCCAGATACAGCCTGAGTTTTTCACACAGCCCCTAAACTAAGAACAGTTTTTTATATTGTTAAATATTTGTGGGAAAACAGTCAAAAGAATGATATTTCATGACATAAGAAAACTATGTGAAATTCAAAAATGTCAGTGCTTATATATAAATTTTGCCTGTTCCACAAATTCTTTCTATTCATTTGCTCTGCTCCGAGGTCTCGAGGTCTCAGTGCTCTGTATTTGGTTACCTCTGCAATTGCTGAATTCTTTCCTGAGAGGTAGTTGACTGTGTTACTAACACAGGGATGGTAATCCTGCCCTGTACTTCTCTTGCAGAGTACAGCAAACATTAAGTAGCTCGTACATACCAAATATTAAATAATACACCCTACCATGGCTTAGTGAAGCAGATCTTGAAAGGAGAGTCTGAATACAAAAAGAGTTAAAAAAACTACACCATAGAATTGCACTCATTCCCATGGTTATAGCACTGTAATTAATAATAGCAACATCTTGGAAACAGCCTGTATGTCCATCAATGGATAAAGAATGGATAAAGAAAATGAGGCATAGAGAAACTGTCATAAAGAGAGATAAATGAACTATTTATAGGAAAATGGATGTACCAAGAGATGATCATAATGTTTAAGAAACTGAGACACACAAACTTAAATAGCATGTAGTTTCTTTTATATGAGAAACTATATATGTATATATGTCAGATAATAGGAAAAAAGAGAGAGAAAACATATTGTAATCCAGTGGACACAATGGTATTGAAAAGTGTACCTTAATCAATTGGTTTACATGTCCTTTGACTATTATTAGTTTGGTTTTTAATCAGTATATATGATAATTAACTTTATAGGGTCTTATAAATTAGTGAATCTGACGCTAGAAAAAAAGAGGGTGGAAGAAAGGGAGAAAAAATTAACTGACGTGTTATGTATGCGTACTAATTCCCTATAGTGAATATAATCATTATGCTCTGCAAACATGGACTATTAAAAGTAAAAACCAAAAACAAAAATATAGTCCTGCATTTCTAAACAACAGGGACACATTCTGAGAAAGATGTTGTGGTTAGATAACATCAACAGCATGTACTTCTGCAGTGGGAAGGGGACTGTAAACAGAAAAAGTATATAAAGTAAGGACCTCAGTGGGCTTTTGGGCTAACCCTGACCAGAAAGAGTTAAAAACTTGCCAGGCGTGGTGGTGGTACATTCCTCTAATCCTAGCACTCAGGAGGCTGAGGCAGAAGGATCCTTGCAAGTCTGAGACCAGCCTGCACTACAAAGTGAGCCCAAGGCCAGCATGAACTGCATAGCAAGACCCTGTCTCAAAAAGCCCCCCCCCCCACAAAAAAAGTGTTAAAAACTTAGGGAGAGAGCAATTAACAAGACCAGAGAAAATTGGAAAGCCAGGCAGATGCCCTAACAAGTTAGCCTGGCCACCCCTCCCTACCTTTAATAAAATACAAAGGAGACAAGGGGTAGAAGAGACTTAAAAGATAGCTCTTCGTATATAAAATATGTGCTCCCATCTGGACACACACACACACACACACTCTCTCTCTCTCTCTCTCTCTCTCTCTCTCTCTCTCTCTCTCTCACTATGTTTCCCATTAATTGCTGATTTGACCTTGTATGTTCAGTCCTTCCTAGCCAGCTTATAGCGATAGGGCCTGATAGGATAACAGAACAAACAAAACCTATTTAGGAATTTGCATGCAGGCGATGGTGCCAGAGTTGAGGGTATGGGCCAGCCAATCAGGTTGTGACAAACCTGAAAAGGGGAAAGGTCTTTCTGCCATCCAATAAGAGCGGCTGAGAACAAGGGGTTCTCAGGTCCTCTTATCTTTCTGGTGCCCCCTAGCCTGATTTATTAGGGTAGATATTTATGTTCTCTTTTTCCCCCTTTCCTAATAAAGTGTCCAGTAAAGCGTCTTTCTTTTCTTAAGCTGTGTCTCTCTAATTCTTTATTGGAATTGAGTTTATGACCCCAGTGACGAGCTGAAGTGAATGTACAGTGTATCTCAGTTCATGAACTTCGTTCTTTAAACGATTCGGGTTGCAAACTGAATTGGATGAGAAATAATCAAAGTCAGTGGTTAAGTTAAATGTTGACCTTATGGAGAACTTTGATTTGGTTCTTGTCCAGTTTGGTTTGCAACTAGAATTGTAGAAAGAATTAAGTTCATGAGCTGAAGTATCACTGTAATCATAAACATAAACATGGACTGATAAAAGTAAACAAAAATTAAAACAAATACAGCCCCAAGTTTCTAAATGACAGGGACACATTCCGAGAAAGTTAGGTGACACCAATTGTGTGTTTTTTCAAAACACAAGAGGGGTGTGATGTCAGTGAGAATCATATCCTACGGAGCACCTTGGCTTGCATGGTCTAACACTGATCAAAATGTCATCTTGGGGGCACAATGGTAGTTTATTGAGGAGGTGTCAGGAATATGACTGGGACTCAGACCATTAGAGTAAAAACTGAGTGTTGTTATTTGATGCTAAAACATTCTAGTTTTTGTAGGAAATAAGTAACAGTTATGAAATGCAAAAGATTGATTTTTGAACATTTTTGTGTGTCATGTGATACAATCACAACACACACAATCACAGCCTGCCTGTGAAGCTACATTGGCACTGCCTGTTACTGATGCTTTATAGCCTAGCTAGGGTGATAGCAAATGAAGATAGAACAAGAATGCTATAATTTCTCAGAAGGTCTACTTACTCTTTCAACTATTCACTTGATAAGTATTTACTGAGTATCTTTAATATGTGAGGCACAGTGTTAGGAGAGCAGTTAAATGTTAACCCTCAATACAAAAGGTGCATTTAGGAATAATGACGGATTGGTTAGCAATAATGGAAAATATTTCCTAGAATCTGCTGTTATTTCCCCCTCTATCTTGATCATTTCTTCATCTCCCTGACTTAGGTGCTTCCTCCTCCTATCCTAGGAATCTTCCCATCAGGAGCTCTGTTTGCATACAGCAGCCTTAGGACCAAATTTATCCTAGCAAAGGACCCTATCCAAGTCACAATCCATCTTTCCCCATGACAGTCGCTTTAGAATTTGAACCTGTATCACTTCCAGCAGTTCTGCTTTTAATGACAAAACTAACACAACAAGCAATTTAAACCTTCACAATGCATTTGCCCATTTTATAAACTTTAAATGCTTCCATTTTCAGTTCTCCAAGAAATGAAGCAGATGACTGAGTGAACAGTGAAATTTAGAGATAACTATCCAATGCCATTTTAATGTATACCAAAGGGTCTAATAAACAACAGAGGCAAATCTTATCATTTTATTTTCTTTCAATAGTAGTAAACAGAAGAAGCTAACTAGACTCCAGATGTCCTATGTTGAAATCTTATCCCCAAGTGCTGGGATTGAGAGGCGGGACCTGGGAGATGACCAGGTTGAGGATGGGGCCTCCAGGAAAGAGATTAGAACCCTTATAAAAGCAGCCCCAGGGAGCTGGTCTGTTCCTCTCTTTTACCATCCCATCTGTGACAGGATAGTGAGAAGGTGCTGTCTATGAGGAACGAGTCTCACCCAGATACTGAACCTGCCAGTGCTTTGATCTCAAACTCCCAACCTCCAGATTATGAACAATCAATTTTCATTGTTTATAAATTACGCGGCCTAATATATTTTGTTGGAAACCCTGAACAGACTCACAGGAAGGATAACTAAAAGATAAAATAAGGCCCAAGAGGGTCTCGAATAATCAATAACTAAATAAGGCACTAAAATCAAGTTTCTACTTATAAGAGAAGGATTACAGGCTTCCTGGGGAAAATACCTTGAGAGATGAGCCTTTGGGGGTGAAACACTTGAAAGGCTTCTTCTCATCTGACAAACCATCTTCCGGCATCTTCTGGCGTTTCTCAGCAGCTTCTGCCCTTCGCCTCTCAATCTCCTCCTTTAGCCGCCTCTTCTCCTCCTAAGGGAGAAAGAGCAAGAAACAAGGGTGTCAAAATAGCTTCCAGGGGAAGGGAAGAGACCGAGGGCTCTCGACTGCACTCTGCCACGCTCAGCGGTGGTCAGGAGAGATCCAGGTACCTAGGTCTGCACCTGGCCTGGCCATGTCACAAACATTATTGTCATTTTAAAAGAGGTTGATTTCACTGTCCACTTCTAGGGCTTGGACGAAGAGCAGACAGGACAGTACATGTAAAATACGGAGACTAACATCAGTATCACCTCACGGTCCCCTCCATCATTTAGCAATGATCTTTCTACTTCTCTATATGAACTAACCAACAAAAATATTCTTTCTTTCTACTTCTCAGAAGAGCTGTGAAGACAAATGAGGTGGCTTTTGCAAAACATTACGCAAATTTGTGGTACCATAGTGGCCAAATTACATGAGAACTTAATTCATGGTTGTTTTCTACCTCTACCGAACACACTATTTTAGAGGCTTTGTCAAACCTGAAGTAATGGCAGTTTGTACCACAGTGGTGAGATCGTGGTTCTTATAGTTATAATCTATTTCATTAACTTGTCTGTTCCCTGCAGTAGGAAGAGACTTTGGAGTTTTATCTAAACTTTCCACACAGCTTAGGGAAATGGTGTATAGGAGTTCTGCCAGAGTTGCTGAAAATTGGGATATTCTGAAGAATGGAATATCCCTCTCGAAAATTGGAGGAATAGAGCTGTAAAAGCAGGGTCCCAGTACTAAGTAGTATCGTAGTATCGGGACAGGATCTCCCTAAGTAGTTCTGGCTGACCTTGAACTCATTATGTAGCCCTGGCTGGCCTTTACCTCACAGTGACCCTCCTTTCTCAGCCTCCCTGCGCTGGGATTACTGGATTGTGTCACCGCCCTGGCCCCAGTATTGACTGTACCATTTATTAGTCCAGGAATCTTCAGACAAGCCACTATTTGGTTTCTGGTTCTTTACCCACACAATGGCAATGTATATCAGGATGAAAGGAAAGAATGCGCTTTGTAAACCACCCTCATAACAGTGGTAGCTGTTTAAATGTCTCTTGTATGTACTAAGCCAAAGTTTTTATGATTTTTATCTGCTGTTTCTAGTTCTATCTTAAAGAAGAGGCAAATACAGGACTAAGGCTAAATACAGGGTGATGAGCTCAGGCAAATGGGTTTTGAGAGCACGAAAACAATGTCGTTCTGCCTTTACTTCCTCAAAAAGGGAATGAGGAGTACCAGTATCATAGAGTTCTCATGTGAAGTGGGTAAATTAACTTGCCTGAAGGTTTTAGAACCAGTTGTGCCTAGCACACAGTACACTTATATATAATATTTAATATATTTTTACTATATATATAATATATATTATTATATATATTATTAATATATATACTATATATTAATATATATAATACATATATATATATATAATTTGGTGCTGGGGATTGAATCCTGGGCCTTCTCACTGAGCTACATCCCAGCCCTTTTCTAATTTTCAGAAGAGGGAGAGGTCTTGCTGCATGGCACAGGCTAGGCTGGAAACTCCCAACTTCCTGCCTCAGCCTCCCAGAGTTAGGCCAGGTGGTGCCCTGCGAGGTGCGGTCCAGGCCCTCCTACCTCCTCCCTGGCTCTGCGGTCTGCCTCCTCCTGCTTTTTCTTCTGTTCCTCCTCCTCCAACACCTTCCTGCGCTCCTCCCTCTTCTTCTTCAGCTCCTCCAGCTCCAGGGCCGCCTCCTGCTGCTTCTGCTTGAGCTTCTCGAACTCCTCGCTCTCGGTCTCCCCGCGCCGGCGGCGCAGCTCCTCCAGCCGCTTGCCTGCCTCCACCTGTGGGGCGCCCTCGGCCTCCTTGCTGCCTCCAGGGCGGCTGGGGCTGTGGGCAGGAGAGGAGAGGAGACGAGAGGAGCTGAGCTGGCGCGCCTGGGTCTCTGCAGGAAGGGCGCCCATCCCTGAGCCCCGACCCTTGCAGCAGGACTAGTGCTGGGGCTAGGGCTGCAGCCCCCGGGCCACGGCGCCTACCACGCCTTCCGGTGCTAGATCAGGAGTGGAGGCAGGGTGTGCAGCCCTCAGGGCATCACGGTTCACAAAGAAGCCACAGGGGGTCTAAGACGGGGTACCAGGATCAGAAGCGGGTGGACCAGACAACGGGCATTATTTAGCCCTCAAAGGGAGGAAGATTTTGACACATGCCACAGCGTGAATGGATTACTCATGGAAAATAAACCAGTTATAAAAGGACAGATCCTGCATGAGAATCCAAAGTAATCAAAATCCTAGGAGTAGAAAGTAGCATTGCATCCCCTACCCCAATCCCGGGCTGGGGCTGTGGAGGAGGAAAGGTAGAGTTGTTCACCGGCATAGAATTTCAGTCCTCAGGATGAAATGATTTTGGAGATCTATAAGGCTGAGAATATACTTAACACTAGGAAGGGCATGTTCAAATGGGAAGGCGAACGAGGAAGAGGAGAAGCAGGGAAGGAAGGGAAAAAGGATTAAAAACAGAGAGGACAGAAGGAAAAAAATGGAAACCAAGCTGTCGTAAACGGGGAAGGAAGAAGGCTTGAAAGGGGGGAGTGGGAAAAAAGGAATTAACACATTATGTAGAATGTGTTAATGATGAATGGGATCAGTATGTACGGCAAATATGCACCAATAAAAATAAATAAAAATCTTTAAAAAGGAATGGTTTGGGGAACTCCCAACAACAGAGAGGGAGAGAGAGAGAGAGAGAGAGAGAGAGAGAAGAGAAATACACTTAACACTACCATCCTGTACACTTGAAAATAGTTTAGATAGTAAATATTGTTTTTATTTATTTATATATTCAACAACACGAAAAATGGGGCAAACAGTATTTATTCTGTTTATTCCAGTGGGCTACTCTTGGAGGTCCTGATATCCTATAAATGTTATTTTGTACATCATTTAGAAATGTTATATTACAAAGGAAAGCATATACATGACAGTAGAATGAGTTCTTAAATTTAGGAGTGGCCTAAAGAAGTTACTGGTTAATTTGGATCTACCTGGGAGCGTGGACCATGAGAGAAGGTGGAAAGGTCCTGCTGTCGGAGACAGGCTAGCATGGCTGAACAGGGGGAGGCGCTGAAATAAATCCATGTACCTACTTGTCCTTGAGCTGGACTCTAGCAGCTCATCTCTGACATGTGAAATTACCCACTGTGGCTCGATCGAGCTAAAACCACAGTTACATTCGTACACAGAATATAACTTCATGTCTGTGTGTTCACCACTGCCTTCAATTTGTGCATCTACAAATGCGTGCATCTCCTGCTCTCTTGTACTCCAAGACAACTGGATCAGGATTTAAAATGACTAAATTAGCTCAGAAGTGCTGCCGTCAGGGTGGCTATTTAAATGTTATTGTTATGCTTGATGAACCCTTTAAAGATTATAATTATTTACTAGTCACAATAGCTGGGAAGTTGGCAGTTCAGGTCTACTGTCCACATTTTACAAATTAGGGCACCAGAGGTGAAAGAGAAAAAATAATTTATCTAAACTTTTGGAAGAGAGAAAGTGGATGACCTATGAAATGCTTCTCTACCACTGACACTCTTCACTATATCTGCAAGTAAATATGACTTTTAAAAATAAAATGACAACTCAATTGAAATAGGACATATCCCACCTCCTGGCCTCTCCACTCAAACGTCTCAGTTAGAGTTTGTGAGGGATGTTCCCTGCCTGTAAGTCTCCAGAGTATCCTCAGTCTGGGCCTCACTACCTTCCATGCCTGCTGGAGGCAATGCTCAGACAGCACAGCTCATACACAGGAAGAAAAACAGCAAGGCTTTTTATAAGCATGAACAGAAGCTGCAGCTGTGTTTGAAGTTTCTCTCGCAACTATGGAGGATCCATGAGAATTCCTCTGTAAAACTGAAAATACATTAAGGATAGACAAGATGCTACCCTAAGTCCTTGGGTTAGATTTTATTACAATTGGTATTCTTAAAATGTTTTACATGGACCACATCAAAAGATGGAGAGGTATCACTGGCATCCATGGACTCAGAGCTCCTTTAGGAAATCTCCTATTGGATAGTGAAAATATTGATCTTTTTGAAACATGTTGGTATTTAAAGTGGAAACTGCGTAGAACACTTTTCACTGAGACAGGACTCATAAATTGAGCCATCCTGGGGCTGGAAGAGTTAATGGTGTATTGGAAAGCCTTGCTATAGTTAGTTTTTAACTCAGAAACAAGGATATAGCGTATCTTTTATTAAATACTTATTAAAGGTAGTGAGTTCTTTTAAAACTACTTTTCAACACAAGCAACCTATTCCTGGTCCAAGGAACAAATGAATGTCTATTGTCTAATTTCGTTTATTCTATGAATAAAATGGCATGATGTCATAATTGTGAAACACAGGAATGAATAACAATAAATGGATTCAAGAATTGCATCATACAGTCTTGGACTTATTTTGTATGTCTCATGCTTCTAAATACTGAGGTAGTTATGAAGATATCATGTCCTCTGGGACAACGCTTTTTTAAAATGCAGGTCAAAACTCATTCTGAATTGTTTAGAGCATTTAAAAGAATAAACTAGAAAGCATCTGAGTATTTGCATGAAGGAAAAGAAAGGATCATTTCTTGACACACTGGTTTCAGTTATAAATACATATACAGTGTCTGCTAAAAAATGTATACACAATTCAGGAAAAGAAAAATAGTATGATGTTTTTTCAACCGATGGTATTATCCTCACATGAGAGACACTAGGGGATGTCATTTACTGCAGAAAACCTATACTCCTGGCCCTTAGAGAAGAAACTGAAAATTCGTGTACAGCAACCTCAACAACTGAGGTTACCCAAGCAGCAGTTCTCTATACTAACAAATGTCTAAAGTGAACCACCACCACTTTGAGAACCTTTTGAAACTGTTGAGGCCAAAGGTAATTTGTATTAATCTCATGATGTCTCACTAAATATAGTATTAAACTAGTTACAAATTCTTCTTTTCCTGAAATGTATATATATATTTTATGGTGGAATCTACATACTGGGTCTTTCTTACTATAGCCTGTGGTTAAAATATAAAATAGTTTTGTCCTTTTGCAGTTAAAGATGAGCTCTTCTTTCAAGTGCAAAATAAAGGAGGTCTCTTAAAGCTATATGTTATTCTTTTAGAGACATCAAAGTTCACAGTAGCTCCTGTCTCTCAGTTAATTGAAGGTCTTTCCAGCTCTAGAAATGAGTTTTGCTCTCTGTTCTTCATGTTGCAGGCAGACACTGGGCTGCCAGACATGCCTACAGAAACTTCTCTGAATTCACTAGTTATTACTCAATACTTGTTTTGAATAAATAAATTGTCCATCACTAAGGGCTGGTTTAAAAAGTCAGAATTGCTACGTGTGGTGGTGCACACCTATAATCCCAACATTTGGTGGCTGAGGCAGGAATTTGAGACCAGCCTGGGCTACAAAGAGAGTTCAAGGCCAGGCTAAATTATATAGCAAGACCCTGTCTCAGAAAACCAAGAACCACAAATAAGCAAACCAAAAATCCATCCAGTGGGATACCTTGACATGATTAATTATGAGCTTATGTTTTAAATACAATAGCCTCATTGTTTTACATTGTTATGCATGGTGCAAGAGTCAGTTAAAAGTATATAGAATTACATTCACACATATATATCTTAAATGTTATATACACAGAAAATGTTATTTATATAGAAAAACATTATTGATAATTACAAAAACTTTAATTTTTAACTTAATAAATAAAATAATCTTCGTTTTGTACATTCTATAAATCCATGTTATAACCTTCTATCTCCATAACTTGTTCATTAAATTGAGATTTTTATGTCACGTTTTGGAGAAAACAGTCTAGTTAAAAGAAAATAAGACTATTAAAAAGGCAGTAATTAAATCAGATGTAAGGAGCAAGACTTTGCTTGCATGTGTTAGCAGCTGTCAGCTTGCGGAGACACTTCTCTGGAAAGTTCCTCTATGAAGTCCTCCCCACTTCCTGTCTAAGCTTCCATAGATTTAAGTCAAGACAAGAATCACGTCTTTGGCTATTGAAAACATAGCTTGCTTTTTAATTAAGCGAGTAGGTACCAAGTATCTAAACTGAGGCTTTTTCTCCCTCACTTTTCATTTTGTAGGGATATGGCACAAACCCAGTAGTCTCTGTTCCTAGCTGTGTCAAATTCTAACTGAAACTGAAACTCACAGATGCTGGCAGTAAAACAAAAACAAGTAATATCATGGCAGCTTGTTCCTATCGGGTTTTCGGTCCAATATGGCAAAATTAAGGGGAGTCATATTTAAGTGTTCTTATTGTTCAATCTGTGGCTGTAGACTGTGTGACTTTTCTGTTTGAATTACCCAGATCTTTGCATTTATATACAATACCCATGCTAATTATTAATTAGAGGTTTGACCAAAACTCCTTGGCAGTGTTCCAAATGGTTAATCAAATTTCTTTCTAGGGGAAGTTATTTTTTTTTTTCAAAAAGTCTTTCTCTTAATAATTCAAACAAACAACTTATTCCTTAAAAGAGCTTTATATCTCAAAAACATATTTTAAGTCACCAAGCAATACAACATAATACTAGATAATAATTACTGAACATTTTTCATGACTGTGGGGATTTAAAATAATAAGGCTTTGGACTCAGCTTCCCAGTCTGAATCTACTTGTCTTGTACATTTTCTATGAATTTCTAATCACTTTTAACTTTCATATATACTCGCTTAGAGGTTCCAACTAAGGTCTAGGGATTTTACCTTTTTTACTCCTAAACTGTGACAGTTAATCCGTTATGTATGCCTTTCTTTTCTGTGCTTTAAGCTTACAAATGGAAGTAAGTTTCTGCTCAGATTTTTATACAGAAAAATTGTTTTGGGGCAACTCTGTTTACCCACCTTTGATGGGCCTGAAATGTCTATTTGATTGCTTCTGAATGGAAGGATTTCTACACACTCTCTGATTGGTGACTTACTTTATTTCAAGTGTTAAGAAAGATAGATCTATGGGCAAGGTCACTGCCGAAGATCAGCCTCATGGAAATACACACTGCAGGGACTCAAAATTCTTTTCCAGCACTTCTAGTATAGCAACCAGACATAACAGAGGTTGAGATTTGGCACCAGTGGTTGGAGAGAGTGTATGAGGATGGGGCAGATGTCACATAGTCTATTGCCTGCAGAGACTTATGAACCTCAAATCTGTCTAGAAAACAGATAGCCAGGTCTATGTTCAACTGAAAGTGGCAATGTATCTACTTACACTGAATTGTGTCCTACAATCAGCTGCCCAGATTTTCAGTATGGTAGTGAAGAAGGGTAAGAAGCTAGAGCCGCTCTAGAGTTCTCTGAACTGTGTGAAATGAAACAGTAATTTCATATCCTCCCCTTCCTTCTTAGATATTCCCAAAATATATTAATATAAAGGATTATCAAATACCATTGTAAAGATATATGGCTAATCTATTTTTTCCCAAGTATTTGGTCATGAATGATCTAGGCTTTATGTGACATTTATTTACCTTTAAAATTGAATGAATTCTTACAAATAGTACCAGAAGGGTCTTTTATAAAGTTGACTGGACCATTCAGAGAATGAATCAATGATATTAATCTCAGTCATAAAATTTTTTAATAAATTAAACTTATTGGATCAGTGAGCAAGAAAATGGACATTAAGCAAGATCTATGTTGTAGGGGAAAAAAAAGATTGGAAAAGCAGATTAAGCTCTGTCAGTCAAAGACTGCTGGTGTCCTACCTGAATTTGCTGGCTGTGTGTCTCTAAAACAATGGCCAGTGATCTCCCAGCAAAAGAATGTTGTCTGTCAAGCATGTTTCTGAGTGGAAGCACAGGACTGGGAAACTGATCGACCCACCCTGCCCCCAAGAACACAGTAACTGTTAAGTAGTCATTGCTTCTTACCTAAATGCATTCTCGGTGACTTTAAGTTTGTGGGTCATGAATTCTCCATTCTGTGACTTCACTTCTGTAAATCCTTTCTTGCGATCCAAGAAGGTCTTAACTTCTTCTTTGGGCTCCTTATCCTTTTTAATCTTCTCATCTTTGATCTAACCACAGTTCACACCAGGAGGAAACATAATGATAAAAATATTATTAGATTTCAGGTGACATTATCAAATAAGGCCCCAAATTTCAGAAGTAGAACCACTTACAGAATGAATGGCAAAGGTGGGGTCAAGGAAAATCCTGAAAGAGTAAACGAGGTTTTTTTGGCTTGTGAACAAGGACCATGACTGTAACTTGGAAAGTCAAGAGCATCCCTGTTCTCACAGGAGGTTTTGTTTTGGAGAGCTGTAGGGGCATTATGATTTGGGAACAATGAAGTTCTAGGACCTCCATGTAAGAGTATTGCTATTATTTGTATGGTTCTGATGGAAGAATGGCCAACTAGCTTGGCCAGGTTTCTTCTTGGAAGGAAACAGACAATTTGAGAAAGACACAGTGAGAAGGGAAGGAAGAAACCTACTAGATTTGCTAGGCCAATTCTGAGGATCACCCTTGCATTTTAACCAAATGAGTAACTGGGTCTCAAAGATGGAACACATCAGAGCTACCTTGACAGGGAAGTTTCAGAGACCCATGGGATCATGTCTGTGATCATCTATACCACTAAACTTAGAATGGAATATGAACTCCAAGGTTTACCTTGATTTCCATTGAGGAGAAAATTTTAGTCCTCTGGAAGTGGTTTTGTAATTGTTGAAAGGGAGACAGAAGAAGATGATAATGGAGGACAGAATGGAGGGCTCTAATATTTTATGAGTTTTGTGTTACAAATTCCTTACAGGAGACAGATTATTTCAAGGTAAATTGAATTTACATAGCTTTTGGGAGGCGCGGGGCAAAGGAATTAGATGACTCTGATTTCATCATCTCACCCATTTTAAAAAAGATGCACGTGTAAAAAGGTGAGGTTTATTATTATTCTTTTTAAGAAACAGTTACAAAGTACTAATCTATAAAGAAACCCAGACAGGAAGGGTAGGCAGTAAGAACTTCAGACTCAGGGGCTACCCAGAGTCCCCTTATCACTCACCCCAAACTCCCATTCTTCAACATCCTCTGAAAAATTATTCCTAAAGAGCATGTTTTAAAAGGCAAGGTAGATTTGGGGATTTTTCTTTATTGATGAGCCTTCAAAAATCCTTTGACTGATTATTTGGTTTGGATATTATTTATTAAATCACTACAGATGGATTATTTTCTGTGATTTGTCCCAACTGGTTAAAACTACCCTTTCCCCAACAAGGTTACACTAGGATGCCCTTGGGAACACTGAAGCGGGGAATGGCAGCACAATCATTGTGTTGCTGTTCTTTCTCCCCGAGAGATTTGCAAGTCAGGAGTCCTAGGTTTGCAGTCCAGCTGTCAACAATCTAGCTGTGTTATTGGAGCAACTCAATAGACTTCCGAATGAAGCTGGTTCCAGTCACGTATGTGAAAACACAGGATTGGACGTGATGATCTTTTCCTAATCTTTCATCCAATCATTTCCCACTTGGGTCCTGACTGATCATGAGAGTCACCAGCAATGGGCAGGAAGCACAGGCCCTGTGCTAGAGCTTGATCATAGCTAGTTGGCAGCTGTCTTTTGTCCAACGGTCAGCATTCACTAGACAGGGGAGGAGAGTGTATTCTCATATTGGCCTAACATTATTGACTAGAGTCCCACAAACCATAGACTAGAATTTAAACCCTGGATAAGAAGTATCCAGAGATACAAATGTAGAGGTGAGTGGGACTCAGGAGTTTCACTGATACAGATGCTAAGTCAAATCTTATGGTTTGTGGAGCACAGTGCATAGAAAAATTCCTTTGAAATCATCTCTCCTATTTTGCAGATAAAGTATTTCCATTCTCCCAAAATATGTTACTGTCCAAAAGAGCTGTCTAAAACAATTTATAAAACAATGGATGTCCTTGTATACTTTTGTTCTCCTTGAAAATCTTTTTTAGGAACACTTTTACTCTAATTTACTGAAAATTATTGTCTTCTTCCAACAATGAATAAAGCAATTCCAGAGCCTTTATATTTTAAGAAGCCTAGTGGATTGGATTCTATGGTGGGTTCAACCTGAGCCCATGGCACTCTGAGCTCCTTGGGAAAAGAATGAGATCTTCTGGGTTGGAATATTATCATGAAAAAAAAAGGGGGTTCCTAGGTAGCCAAGTGTCTTGAAGGAGTCAGTGTGCTCCATTCATAGTTAACCTTTGTGAGCTCATAAGGAAGGCTCTAGCCAATTATGATCATTTGGATAAAACTCTGATTATTTGGAATATCCAATGGCATAAAGCCTGGGCATGTGAGAGGTGATAATTTAAGAGGCTCTGATACCACAGAGATTCTGAAAAGGTCAAGGGAGCAAGTAGAAAAGGACTAAGATATTAGTCTCATAGAGCACTGCTTTGCTATTATTTGATTTTTGAATAATGACAAGAGTGAGGCATGAATTATAGCTCCCCAGACGGGCCCAGCATGCTTTTCTTAGCTTTAACAGTCCCAAGTTCTTTCCTAGGTTCATTTTCTATCACATAGTACCTTCTAGACTTCTTGATGTAGGAAGTTTCATCCAGGGACAACATAAACCTCCTGAGGGAGTTCATTTTCTACACTAGAGATACTGAATCAATTCTGCATTTAACAAGATTCCTGGGGGATCTGCCCGCACACTCGAGTTTGGGAAATGTTGGTCCAGATGACATGAATATCAGGGTCAGTATTGTTGTGCAACTCTGCTAGCCACTTTGTTTTTCTACTGGAGGCCAGGAATAGGGAAAAAACCAAGTTCACAAAGCAAGCTACATTAGGTGCTAGGGTTGGTGATGGTCTGGTCTGTGCCCTATTACTGCCACAAGTTCAGTTAAACCACAGTGGAGAAGGACTGGGTTTTGTTTCTTTGTCTATGTTTTAAGCACTGGAGGGCCTTTTGGAGATGCTTTTCTAAGAAGGCTTATGTGCTGTTTTACTTGTGGCTGATCTGCTTGTGCTACACAGTTCCTTACAAGGGAGATTTTAGTTTGTTTCTGGGTGATTTTTAAAACAACAAGATATATATATATATATATATATATATATATATATATATATATATGAGGGAGAGAGGGAGAGACAGAGAGAGAATTTAAAATTGCTGTCATATAAAATGATTTAAAGCCATCTACCCGAAACAATAACATAACTAACCAGACCGGAGGAAACCTAGCCCCAACCAGCAGTCCATCTGCACAATGTTAAAATGGGAATAGAGACTTTTTTTTTTTAAATCTGGGGTTGGAGAGCTTATCTGGCCTTGTGTGAAAGAGAGGTCAAAGGTTTTGAGGCACTGGAATTTGCTTTGGGGCAAAATGGGATAGGAGCAGGCTGAAACCATGAGTACCCTATTGAGATGGGCATTGCTAAACTGACAAGCCCTTTCCAGTTCACAGACACCCTCTGCAGAAATACAATGCTCTGGTTCATTCACAGGTTAAAAAACTGAATTAAACTTTACCTATCCAGACACTGTTCATTACAGCCTCTTCCCCCTGCTTGTTTAATCACAGAGCGCAATCTCAGTCCCTCTCCCTCCAAAACTTAGATATTCACCACCATACTCTAGCTTTGTAGGGGGAGACAACTGTACTATTTTTGTTGGATTTAGGTCCTATGTAAAAATCTCTTCCTCTTTGGAAGTTGTAGTTATTCTTTGTCACAAAATAAGAAGTGTTTCCTAACATGTTCAACTGTTTTCTTATCTGACTCATTAGAGCTAAATTCAGCTTCTCAGTTATTTAGAGGGGCAGGGTGAACATTCAGTTTTCACCCCCAAACCATTATAAGTTCTATTAGAAACACAGAAGAATAGAAATATTAAATATAAAATAAAGATAATATGTAATAGGAAAATAGGTTATTATTTTATAAGAATCTTATAAAAGATTCTTTCTTCTTATAAAAGAACCCATATCCTATGTAATCCAATCATCTACTTTCTAAATAGGAATTTTTATTTTACAGTTTTTAATTTTTTTTTTCTTTTTTGTTTCTCGGTACCAGGGATTGAACTCACAACCGCAAACTTGCAAAGCAGGCGCTTATGCCACTGAGCTAAATCCCCAGCCCCAGTTCTTTTTTTTTTTGGATTTTTTTCTTTTTATCGGTACCGGGGATCGAACTCACGACTGCCTGCTTGCAAGGCAGGTGCTTATGCCGCTGAGCTAAATCCCCAGCCCCAGTTCTTAATTTTCTTAATCGATGCCACAGTGGCTAGAGAAATGTAGCAAGAGTCCATCTGGGTTGACACTAACTGGCTACAAGTCACTTTATCAGTCTCACAGGCCAAGTCATTCAGATCTTCCTACCTCTAATGATTCAGTTTCACCACTTTCAAATACCCTGAATTTAGTGTATGATTTATAAGATTAAAAGATTATTTGGGGCTAGAATAAACACGGTGATTAAGTGGAACCAAGTTTTCTGCTACGCACTATGATCATGGCAGAGCACCATGTCATTCTATCTAAAACGGCCCCATTTACTTACCTACATCCAAACTCCCTGGTCCCTGCTCCTGTGTGACTCAGAAATGCAATGCAGAACATTTGGCTAAACTTTTCTTTTAGAAATTAAATATCATCTTCAGTTCACCAAATTTTCTACTGAGATGTAAGGAGTAGGAGAGTAGTTTTCCTTTGAAAAGTTAAAGCATTAATCAAAGCCAGTTGGAAAAATTTCATGATCTAAATGTAAGTAGGATGGCACAAGGAAAAATATTAGCACTTAGAAGAGAAGAAAGCAAGGAAAGATTGATTGGATAAATGTTTTTCAAGCTTTGAATATGATCCACAATAAGAAAAAGTATATATGATAATGCAATACTTGCTACCTACAGTGCCCTCTAATATTTTCTATTCCATTTCACTTTGTCAAATACTGATTAGCTAATTTTTTTTCTTTGAGACAGAGTCTCACTGTGTAGCCCAGGCTGACTTTGAACCCATGATAATCTTCCCGCCTCACCTTCTGAGTGCTGGGGTTACAGGTGTGTGCCACCACACCGCCACGCAATTAACTAGTTTTGAGACTCTCTGAAATATCACCATTCAATGGGTCACAAGTCATGGCTTGAAAAATATTGAGGTAAGACTTATAATTCTGAGGATCATCAGACTTGAGACATCTGTAAACACTGACTGCTTATTTTTAAACATTGACAGATTATTTCTCAGTAACATTTACCTCTTGTGTTTTGGAAGCAGGCTTGTCTTCTTGGAACTTTTGTTTTTGAGCTTGCTCTTTAGCTCCCCTTTCTTCTTCCTTTTCATTTGCAAGAGTAGTTAACATCACTGAGGTAAAAGCAGCCCTTTCTAGCTTGCAAAAGTGAGAAGTGTTTAGATCACTGCACAGGTGCTGTGGATAGCTTGGCTTTGGCTGTCTTAGTGCCACACTTACAGCCTTGGTGCCAGTGGTTCTACAGAGTGACATGGACTATTTCTTCTCACCTGTGACTTTCTCATGTGCCTTTGCATTATGCTTACTGAAACCTAGCATAGCATGACACACCTCATATGTGTTTACAAACTTCACATATAGCTTGGTGCAATATTTATGATCTGAATTATAGCCGTGTACACGAAACCCTTGTACAGAAAGAAGCAGAGTGAAAGGCAACTTCAGCTCAGTGGCAGAGTTTGCTCTGAAAAGGTCAACATGCAAGTATCTCTGTTTTCTTTTTAGAGAGGGAGGAGGGGTGGGATGATGCTAGGTACAGTGCTCTTAATGTAGCCTTGCAGATAGAAAAAATAACTTTTATAGTTTATACTCTTCTCTCTCCATCACCCCATCTGGACCACATTCAGACCACAGAAATCTGTGTTACCCAGACAACAAAAGAAGCAGAATGCATGCTCTTCATTAACTGTTCAGTCATTGGCTGTATCCCTGATGAGTCACTTTCTGCAAGTCTGCATTAAGCTAAGGTCTACATGATAGCAAAACAGGCTTCTGAGATCTTTCAAATAAAGGTTCCATCTGGCTCCTTTCATCCTTCTTTTTCCAGCTGACCACAAAGGGTTTATGTTTGCCTTCTCAAAATGAAATCTCTGACTATATAATAATTATTATTATTTTTAACACAGCAAATCGAGCCCAGGTCCTTTACGCTGATCTACATCCCCAGATCTTTTTTATATTTTATCTTGAGACAAGATCTTTCTAAGTCTCTAAATTGTTTGGGCTGGGCTTGAACTTGGCTCAGCTTCCCAGAGTGCTGGGATCACAGTCAGACACCATCAGGCCCAGTTGACCATTTTTAAATTTGATACATAGAAGAAACGGAAAGTTAAGGGCCTCCTGCCTCATGTAGACCTACAGATAAAGGAAAGATGTTAAAGAATGCATTCAGATGCAGATGCAGACACATAAGTCAACACAGCACTGCCACATTCGTCATCATTGGGTTAATTCATTTTTTTGGCAGTCATAACAACCCTGCACAGAGCAATTCATCTCCCTCTGGTTGGCCCAATAAATTTGGTTGGCTATATACTTAGTCATCCATTGATTGCTTCATGCTTGCGTATTGCTATGACTTGAAAAAAATGAACAGCTTGCCAAACGATCAAGCACTGGACTGTGTGCGTGTGGCCTCCGGCCAAATTCGATGTGCATTACATTTCTCATAAGTCACAGGCATCACACACTAGGTGCAAGTTGTTTACTGTACCTGTTTCTTTAGGACAGCTGTCTGAGGCTTATCTTCTTGCACTTTCTTTTCATTTACCCATTTCCCTTCTCTTTTGTCTTTTCCTTTCTCCCCTGTCATCTTTGTGTCTTGCATTTCTTTTTTTTTCTCTTCTAGCTGCTTTTTTCGTTTTTGCTCTTCTATCCTAGCCTCCTCCTCTGCCTTGGCTCTCTGCCTTTCCTCCTCGGCCCTTTTCTCCTCCTCCACCTTTCTCTTTTCCGCGGCCTTTCTCTCCTCCTCTGCTCTTCTCTCCTCCTCCGCCCTTCTCTCCTCCTCTGCCCTTCTCTCCTCCTCTGCCCTCCTCTCCTCCTCCACCCTTCTCTCCTCCTCCGCCCTTCTTCTCTCCTCCTCCTTGGTCTTCTCCCTCTCTTCTGCCTCTTTCCTTTCCCTTTCTTGTGCAGCCGCTTTTTCTTCTGCTTCAATTCTTGCTCTCTCCTGTGCTATCTCTTTTTCTTGCTCAGCTTTAATCCTTTCTCTTTCTTCTGCTTCTAACCTTAACCTCTCTGCCTCAGCTCTTTCTCGCTCTTCCTCTTCCATCTTTTCATTATGGGAAGCCTCCCCTGAGCCTCGGTCCCTCTCCTCCTCTGGTTTAGACTCTTCTGCACTAATCTGCCCATTTTTCATCACCGTTACCACCGTCTCCTCTTGAATCTCTGCTGTTTTCTCTTCTACCAGCCCCTCTACCTGGTTTTCTCCAATGCTCCCTTGCTTTGGCTTCTCTGCTTCCTCTTCCTCCTTTTCTTTTTCTTCTCTCTTTCTGTCTTCAGCATCCTGCCAGTCATTCTTCTGGTAGGACTTGGTAACGATCTCTGTTTCTTCCATCTCGTATCTTTCTTGGCGACTCTCCCTTTTTTCTTCCTTCTCCGCAGTCTCATTCTCTACTAGGTTGTTCTGCATTCTTTGGCTTGGCTGTGACAGACTGGAATCTGCTATTGTTGGATCAAACTCCTTCTGCCGCTCTAGTGCTTCCTGAAGACGTTTTTGGCGTCTCTCTTCTCTCCGAGCCAGACGCTCCAGTAATGCAGCCTCCTCATCACCTTCTGCCTGAGTGTTTGTGGTGGTTGGCTTGGCCTCCTCATCAGGGACACTGTCAAACAGAGAGAGCAGCACAAAAACAGCTTGCTGATTAATCAGTCAGCTACATTCACAGCCAGCGTTGCTAAGACCAGAGTACAGACATCAGGAGTCTATGCCCACGGGCTCTTCTGGTGGGTATTTTAGTACACCCCTGCCTGCATTTCATTGGAACCCATGCAGGTCTTTACCTTTGGCCTCTCTGACATGTTCTCAACTTGCTGGCAGTGCTTTGGGTATGAATGGCACCAAGGGATTCTTCAAACAAAAACTGGTGGCATCAGTGTATCAGGACTTTAGCTTTCCTTTCCCTCTGAGTTGGAAACTCAGAGGTACGTGTTCCACATGGGCTCTTGGGCTTTCCAGTGGAGTTAGGTTCCAGATGCCCACCATACTTGTATTTGGCTTCCTTCCCTTCCCTGTCTCACTGCCCGACATCCCTCCAGTGTTTCCTGGGATCACTCTACAAATCAATGAATTGTACAGCAAACATGTACTAATAGAACTAAAAATTGAAAGAAAAGCACCAACAAATAAACTCTTGATGCTCAAATCTTTGTTTTAGGATTTGCTTCTTTGGGAACTCAAACTGAGATAAGGATCAAGTCAAAATAAGGAGTGAATGCTTGCAGGGTCGTGTAGTATTCTATGGAATTCTACGGAATTCTTGATCTGGCTTGGTGCAATCTGAAGTGGAAGGAAGGTATATGGTTCAATGTGGAGATTCTATAATGGTGCCAGTGAGTCCCATGGGAGAGACATCCAAGTGTCCCTCACAATCCATGCTCCTCTTTCCACAGTCATGGGGGTAGGTGATGGCCAATCAGAATTACAGTTCCTACTTCTCTGCTTCCTGGTACTTAGGCAGGACCACGTGACAAACAATTGCTATTGAAATGTGAGCAGAAGCAATGTGTCTAGGCCAAGATAATTAAGAGGCAGAGGAGGATCTGGCCATGGTGGGATTTAGATGGCTGCACAAGAAAGCAATTCGCCTGCCCTCTTGGTAAGTGCCTCCAGCATGAGCCAGCAAGAGGACCCGTCAGCATCTCCTGTGAGCCTACAGGCACACGGGTTGAGAATCAAACATTCAATCCCCCCCCCCCCCGCCGCACCCCCCTCCCTGCATTAGCAGCTGGGGACAGAGGTCTGAGCATCTCTTGGGAGGATAACCGTATGCGGTATAGCAAATATCGGGGATTTCCTTCTATCTTCTGTTTGAAGGCAAATGTTTTCACTGTTTTGTTTTGTTATGATTAATTGTTTTGCTTTTTCAATATTCTCTTTCAATTGGTTTTATAACATTCTGTTTTAGGTTTGATTTTGCTACACCTAATTGACTGGACAACTCTTGTGAAGATAACAAGATATACTATGGTACCTACTACTGTTATGCCAGCATCCTGCTGTTAAGTTCTGTACCAATTTCCCTGTATTGTCTGGGGGGGGTGGGGGAGAAGAAGAAGAAACAGAGGAGCATTCTCTGTCCTCCCTGTTTCTGTCTGTGGCCTAGATTAGAAGACTCTACCCTTCTACAAGGTTTCCAGAGACAAGGAAGATATGTGACTGGTTCCACCAACTAGATGGAAATACCCCACTGGACTGGGTAGGGGTTGTTGTGTCAAATTACTACAATTTAGGGGCTTATTGTCATAGCAGCAGCATTGTCTTAACTAATAAATATAGTATTTACCTTCCTTGACACGATTTTCATGAACAAAGGGCTTCTTGTCTTTTTCTCTATTGTGGATAAAGGTTAAGTTTAATATTGATTTAAAAAAAGAAAACATAAGGGGCTGGGGATTTAGCTCAGCAGCATAAGCACCTGCCTTGCAAGCAGGCAGTTGAGGGTTCGATCCCCGGTACCGATAAAAAAAGAAAAAGAAAAAAAAAAAAAAAAAAAAAAGAAAAGATAATCTCTAAAAAACCAAACTGTACCATGTCCATCATCTCCTTCACTCTTGTGGGATGCTGGACACTGCCCAGGCCAAGTGTGTTGGTCTCTCTTGGAAGCAAACAGCTAGTCATGTGATATCAGAACTGACACCAGAGTTGGAAGCATGTATCTTGCAATGTTTAGAAATGCCATAAGATTTCATGGTTTATACCAAATGTGGCCCTTTGATGTTCAAGGTCACTTAATTTTGGAAAAACGCATTTCATATTAAACAACAGAATACAGTAAAGCTTAGATTTTAAGCCTTCTCAGCCTTAGCTATTGCTGCAGGATTCTATCTCTATGAATTAGATCTCTGAGGATTAAATGTCCATGAAAAGATAAAAATTTAGAATTTAAGGGGAAATGTATACACACAAGGCTTTGTGATAAACTGAAATCTAATAATATTTAGAAAGGTATACAAAATTTCAGGGTGCTGGCTAGACTAAAATACACTTAAGAACCCAACAGATTCCAATAAATCTTTCTTTAACTTTTTATAAATCATGAAGACAATCATCATATATTATGTGCTAATTACAGCTATATAACCACAAGGAGAATATGTTTTTTGTTGCCAATTAATATGTCAGAGATGAGCCATGTATTCACACACCAGAATGTTTTCCTGAAAAAGAATTTTGAATTCAATTAACATCACAAAATAACTAATTATAAAATGTGACCGCAGAAGAGAAATACAAGTAGAAGCAAGACTTTAGCAGCAGAAAACTACAGACTAATATTTATCTTTTAAAACCACTGTTGACTCTTCACTAATAACTAGATTTAGGAAAAGCCTTGGTGAATGTCATTTAAAAAAATTTTTTTTTCGTCCCTCATCCTTCAGCTTAAACATACAAAGGCACTGGATGCTGCTCTCCTCTGTAACACTCTGATAACAATGACATTTATTGAGTGCTTGCTATATGGAAAGTCCTGTGCTTTTTACATGCATTATCACATAATTTCAGAGTTACTTAATATCCTCTCATGGAAGGTACAGTTTTTATTTCTATTTAGATGAAGAAACATAATTAGTGAAAGGCCACATCGGGATTCAGATGAAGCCCAGAGATCACACCTGTGTCCTCTTTGCTATGTTCCCCAGTTCTGAACCACTTCCCAAGGGACAAGGGTTCCTAGTTTTGTGCTTCTGTGTAGGGAACAGTGGTATCCAAATGTTCATATCAGCTTGATCGTCTAATCTGACTTGCTGCTCAAAGTAGCCACAAACAAACCAGTAAGATCCATGATAAAGGGCTGAGTTGGGCTGGAAAGGAATGCTTTAACTGACAAATTGCATCCACTGGCTAGGATCAAGGGTGTCCCCTCTGTGAAGTGCACAGTACCTGTTCTGGGCATGAACCTCCAGCTGGTCAGTCACCTGTCCCAAGGATTCCTCCTCTTGCTTCTGCCGCAGCCTCTCCTGTCGGGCTCGGCGGCGCCGTTCCCGGGCAGCCTCTTCTTCATCATCGTCATTTCTCTGATAGGCGATTCTGCAACATTGCAAAGACAAACTGAGCATATCTGCAGCCAGCTGTTTTCATCAGCTTCTTGGCAGGAAGGTACAATCCTTTTTCTGAACTTGCTTATTAATGAACCACAGAGTTCTAGCAAGATGGCCCATCACTTGATTATTTTTCAAATTTTTGAGTATTTGAAAAGTATTAATCCAGTAACTGCAGAGGGCAATTTACTATGATTAAATAGCTGAAGCTACCAAATGTACACAAAAGGAGACTGTGTTTGGAGACTGTGGGTGAGCACATTTAGGTTTCTTTCCTAAGCTGATTACCACGTGTAAGACTTAGCAACAGATACCCAAAGCACTGAACTGCAAATAATGAAACACTTACTAAAAGATTTAGTAGGTGGTATGAATCATTTGTGCAGGCTATGTCTCAAAAGGCCAGAAAAGACCCAAGTTATGCTATCAAATCAAGAATTTGATGTTAATAGACCCAAATGGCTTATTAAAAGCAAAAGCAGGAGCTCTCTGGTTGGATTTTGTTTTTCTCACTGGAGACAGGCGATGTTACTGACAGTAGGCACTTTTAATTCAGTGCCTGATGAAGTGGTGGCAGCTCCTCCTAAGGACTCGAAGTGTTCTCTAAAACATCCTTTGGAGTCCTGTCACTCACATACTGGGCACAGCAGTCACTGCAGGTGTATTTAGCTGGAATCCCAAGGGCTGGTAGGTAGAAAAGCCACAGAGAGATCCACATGGGTACCTTTTACTTAGTTGTTAGTTTCCATTGAGGTAAATGCCTACTTGGGGAAATTGTACAATCAGTATTACTATGCTAGAAATGTTTCCCATAATACTTGTTTCCAAATAAAGAATTGAGGCTGTGGGATACCAGATGCTCAAAGTCAAAAGGAAATAGTCTGCATGGTTTGCTAGACTGTTTTTGGCACAGAGACAGAATGCCAGGAGGCTTGGGTAGAACTGCTAGCCTAGGGAAGGCTGGCATGGGGGGGGCACCAGCTGCAAGGAGATAGACATGAAGCTGAATTGCAGGAGCCACTTTTTATGCTACAAAGTTATAATATTTTTATTATAATCTTACATATCTGCAAATAGAAGTCTAGATATGTAAATGTTTCTTATTAATAATCCTTTTTAAAATTGTGATGGGAACACTTAACATGAGATCCACTCTCTTAGTAAATTTTGAAGGGTATAATACAAAATGCTAACAGAATGTACAATGCAGTCTTACATTCTGTTAGCATTCTGTATTAGCATTCTGACATGTAGAATATGTGGGTAGTTTTTATATAACTATAAAGCCAAAATATGTTTCTAATTAAGAAAACCAAACATCAGAACCATCAGACACCAACAATCAGTCATATATTACAATCAGTCATATAGTACGACTGATGGATGGTTTGTTTGTGTTAAATTTACTAACCAGGCATTTTTAGGCTTGAATGTAGGACTTTATTTTATTTATGTCATCTTTTGACTTCAACAATAAAAATGCTACAAATGTTGCTTTCACCTACATATGTTATAAAACTAAAGATTAAAAAAATGAAGGTTGGTTTGCTCTTTGCTACTTGAAAAAAATCTGACATCATGTTACTAAAATCTGCTTGTATGCAGTACTCACAAGCCAATATAAATAAAGTATCATTTAGTGATTCTATAAAATGGACTGGTAATTTTCCACAAATATGGAGAGAAGGGCAGTGTGGTGGAGTTAATGGGTGACTAGATTAGGACTTAGGACACTTGGTTTCCAGAACTGAGCTCTCAGGAACATGCAGCCGTTGATTACTCTGAGTTAAATTTCCTTGTCTGTGTCTGACAATGGAAACAGATAATGGATATGTTATGACGAAGCCTTCTAAACTGCCATTCTTTGTTGTTACTAGGAAAGTTTAGAAGCTGCTTTATGAGGAAAGATGAGTTCAATTTTAGACTTGTGGAGTTTGAGGTGACAATACGATATAACGCGAACGTTCTTTTCTAACTCAATCACATTGTAGTTTGCTGTGAAAAGCTCTTCCCAGTGGTTTGGCTTCGCCTTTCAGATTCTTGGCCTAATAGTCTTTTGGCTTATTTCTCAGTAGATAGCTTTGGCCAGGACAGACAGAAGAGTCCTTATGACGACTTCCCAAGCTAATCAAACAGAAAGTCTTAATTTGTTCTTTTAGCTCTGTGGATCAGCTCTGAGGTCATAGCTAGTAGTTGGGACCTTCCTCTTTCAGGACATAAAATCTCCATGTGGGGCATCCCTATGTCAAAAGTAGCATCGTTTCTCCTGTGGGAATCTGATTCTAAGATCTCATTTCCCAGTGTATTTGAAAAATTGAGATTTTCTGTTTTCTCCCTTCCACATACCCAGTGAACCTCGTAGCTGGGCGTTGCTAGCTTTTGCCTTTGACCTGATCTAGACTTGCCGCTTGGGCCAGGGCACACTGACCCTTTCTTCCTCTAAGGTGTTTCATCAGAGGAGTGACCTGAATAACTGGATCCTGTCCATCCTCTCCTCTCAATTATTGTAGCTGAAAATTTATCGATGGTCCCTCCCTATTGAAAGGACTTTTCCTAAGATACACAGTTTCTGGGGCAAATTTATAAAGCTCTTTCATTAATATTAAGGGAAGCCAATGTAAAGACTATCTACAATGGTAAGAACAGCAATAAAAAGTCTAATTGTGACCTGCCCTGTTACCACCTCGAGGGTGTTGTCAGTTTACTTTATTCTTCATCATTGAAATTGTGTCCATACCAATGGCTTCAGATATGTGAAACTCTCTACGTTAACCCTTACCATGTGAAGCAAAATACATCTCCCAAGCTTTTAAGCATTTCCCAAAGCAATCTAACCTTCATGCTTACACCACAAGTTTATTACTTTTTTGCTTAAAAATTGAAAACATTCACTTTTTTTTCTAAAAATAAGACTATTTTTAAAAATCAGACAATACAAAGCATATAAAGGCCAAAAGTAAAATGCCATCTTTCTTGGATTCTACCACATATGAATATATGATATATGATGAATACATGAACATGATGTTGATATCATACATATATGTATAATACATGACATAGTCTACAGGGCATTTCTCTATGTGTGCATAGATATTTACATTTTATAAAGTGGGATCATGGTATTATATCATTTCTAAATGATTTTTAAATTTACCTAATTTATTATTTAACATATTAACAAAATATGTTGTCAACAGAAATAGCATTTTATGTATATATGCACACATCTAGTAATTACATGGATACACTATAATTTAATGAATTTTCTATTGCTGGAAATTTAAGGCTGTCTTTCACCTTTATGTTCCTGTAAACAATGCTGCAAAGGACATGGTTATATGCACTGTTTTTCCATTTATGCACTTACTTAGCAAAACTTCTCAGAAGTTAGAATTCCTTGAGTTTATTATTATTTTGAAGGCTTTTGAAAGGCACTAGTAAACTACTCTCCTGAAAGGTATTTAATACCAGCAATGTATAGGAGTGCTAATTTTACAAAAAAAAGAATTTGTCCAAAAATACAGACAAGTAGACAGGGCCCCAAATATGTCTGAATGATAGCACAAGCTTTGCATTATGTTCTAGTTAAAGGCAAAGTACTAACATTTGGGATTTTCCACAAACCAGATTTAAACTTATTTGAAATGCTGATGACTAGTAAAAATCATAACTAACTAACCACTAAATTACAATAAAAGCTGAACAACCCAATTATTCCTTCCATGAAAATCCAGCAGATGCCAGTATTAACCAGTATGTACACATCCTACAGAACAACAGATATTTCCAGGTAACACAGTAGCCATTGTAGGATCTCAAAGTTTCTCTGAATCCTCTAGGGAAATTGAACTGTTTTAAAAACAATTTTAATCAAATGTACTTTATTGTCATCTATTATTTTAAAGTCTGGCAATTAATAGAAAATCTACTAAGCAACTCCCTATTAAATAAAACATTTGACCAGATTCCATGAACTTCCTTTCCATGCTGGTTGTAAGAGGATTTACAATGACGCATTCTGTACTTCTTGATACCTGCTGTTGATCATCTTGTGCCACACACACTCAAGAGCACGATCCTCCTTTCTGCAGGAAGGTCAGTGTTGTCAACAGCAAAATGACTTGTTAGATATTTGGGAGAAAGAGAATCTATAGTGTGTAATGCTCAAGCATGCATATATACACCTATGACAAAGCACAAACAATTTCAAAAGTCTGTTGCCATTATATGGTATTCTTTGATTTGTGTCATGAAGAAATAGAGAGGACTTTGTGTCATGCTCTTTGATTCGTGATAAGAAGTAGTAGAGAAGACTGTCTCTTCTACTCCCAGAACTACTGCTAAAAGACTTTTGTTTTACATGCTATGAAAAACCAGACCCATGCAACAAGAAAATCCTAGAGTATAGCTGTGCCTTTAGCAGCAAAGCTATTTTAGACCCTTAACAGCAGAGCTCTGCTGTCTCAGTAGAGTCAGCTAAATGGATGACTATGTTATATACTGGATCTTTAGATATTAAATTCAAATAAATAAAAGTATTGCAGACCTGCAAATAAGGAAATCATGGAGTTCCTGCTAAGACATCTTGTTCTGTTAATACAATGCTATTGTTAGTCCTTTACTTGAAAACCATTTTGCGCCTTTACACTGGGGTGAGTGAGGTCCAAACACATTGCAGAAGAGAGAAGGAAGGCCTGGCAGGGTTTGTGGGGACACACATTAGTCATCCTCTCTCCTGATCACAGCTTCACCCCATAGTCCCCATCAAGCACCGTATTTCTCATGGCTTTTGCCACACTGGCAAAATTCTTAAGATAATTTTACTTTCTGCTCTCCATAGTTTGAAGAAATTGTTCTTACTGCATTTCATTGTTTTGTCTTTTTTTCTCATTCTGCTAATTTTCTGATTTGAGACTTCAAGATATGCTCTTTATGGTTTTCAAGTAAAGGGCTGGCAATAGCATCTTATTAACAGAACAAGATGTC